ACAGGACACGTACTTAAGCCCTTCATGACACCTGCACAAAAACTTACATAGATGATTCTAATGAACTGAAATGAAAGTAAAAGTTGAAAACATATTTCAGACTTTTAAGTGTTTTGAACTTTAAGTCTAAAATCCTTTTGTTTTGAGTGATCCTATACCTTAATTCTTTTTATTTTATTACAATAAATCACTGAACGTTCCATTTTGTCACTACCAAAACAAGCATAACACTAGCAAAACTTGTTGTTTCAGTAGTGACTGTTTCGGTAGTGACAATTTTAGCTAATTTTTAACAGAACCTAAAAACACAGCCAGTACATGACTAGAGAACCCAGCTTTGAACAGCTGTACACACATAAAATCATCAGATTTTTCATTAAAGCACAAAAAAGTTTACTTTATTTCATAAAATGTTTCTATAATGATGATTCTTAATGTTCCACACTGATTCTAAGATTTTGGGACACATTTACTTCAAACCAATGGGATCTAACTGCTCACCATGTGGCCATGAGGGTCAGGGATGCAGTCTCACTTCCTCGTCTAAAATACAGGGGTGTGGCTAAAATAAGGCCCCGCCTACTGACTAAAACTCTTTTGCTGTGTCCAAAACAACATAGTACTGTACTAAATAGTATGTACTGTACACCAACATTACACGTCCATTCATTAGTTAGGTATGTTTAGTGTAGTAGTATGTGGTTTGGGATGCAGATTTTGTGTTTCGGTAGTGACATGAAAACATGAACTTCACTTAAAAAGAAAAAAAAATCTGCTACATTGAGATATAAAAAAAAAAGGTATTACTTTCACAGGTGTAAATTTGGAGGTTAGGGTTTGGGACAGACAACTCCCAATAAAAAGTACTGTATAAATGATGATTTTGAAAATATGTAGCTTATTAATGTCTCCATGATAGCATGATAAATTGTTTATTAATGCCTTTGGTTTAAATAGATCAGAACACATTCCTTGTGAATATCTAAGGTGTAAATATTTGGTTTTTTTTATAGTTTTTTTACTGTGGCCCTGCTGTTTAATTCGGTGCAATAGTCTTTATAGACATTCATAAAGGCTTGTTCCATGTGTCAGTTGCTGTAACACTCAACATCAAGACTAACAAAAGCAGTCTTTATGACCATTGAGGCTTGCTGGAATAAGTCTTTATAAAAGTCTATGAAGGTTTACATCAGTTGTCATATGCATCCTTATGAATGCCTCCCTTCAGTAAAGTGTTACTGCAAAAATGACATCAAATATTATGATATTATTATCTGTCATGAAAATTAATGCAAGTGATGGTATGACTTTGTTATGTAAAAGTACAAAATCATGGCATCTGCAATGACCTGTCTATGTCATGGTTAATAATAATAATAATACTAATAATACTACTACTACTACTACTACTAATAATAATAATAATAATAATAATTTTATTTATATAGCACTTTTCATGCCGGTGGCAGCTCAAAGTGCTTTACAGACAGGTGATAAAACATAGTTATAGAAAAGATCATTAGTACTTAATTAGAATCAGAAGAAAATGAAGATTAAATTACAAAATAAACACTATGGGACATTCAGTTTTAGTTAAATGCTACTTTAAAGAGATACGTTTTTAGGTGCTTCTTAAAAGTGAGCACTGAGCTTGACTGTCTAATAAAAGGTGGAATTGAGTTCCACAGTTTAGAAGAATAATAACTGAAAGAGGCCTCTCCATGTTTTCTGTATTTTACAGAGGGTATCTGTAGAAGGCCACTATCTGCAGATCTTAGATTGCATGCTGGAACATAAACAGACAGACACTCTGTGATGTAAGCAGGTGCCAGGTTGTTTTGAGCTTTAAAGACTAGTAGCAGAACCTTGAAATCTATCCTGAATGATACAGGCAGCCAGCGCAGTTCTTTCAAAACGGGAGTGATGTGATCTCTCTTTTTTATTTTTGTTAGGATGCGCGCTGCTGCATTTTGTACGAGTTGTAAGGGATGTGTAGTTTTCTTAGGAAGTCCAGCAAGAAGAGCATTACAGTAGTCAAGTTTGCCTGTAACAAATGCATGAACAAGTTTCTCTGCGTTGCTCTGAGATAGAAAAGGCTGAACTTTAGCGATATTTCTTAAATGATAAAAAGCTACTTTAGTGACCGTGTTTACATGTGGGGTAAAACAGAGCTCAGAGTCTAAGATCACACCCAGGTTTCGTACTTCAGGTTTGGTAGATGAAGCTAAAGAACAAAGTTTCTCAAAAATCAATTTTCTCTGAGTTTCTGTACCAACAATCAGTAATTCAGTTTTTTCATGATTTAATTGTAGAAAATTTTAAGACAGTGTTATGTCAGACATGTTAAGACAGTTTTATGTCAGACATGTTAAGACAGTGTTATGTCAGACATGTTAAGACAGTGTTATGTCACACTAAAAAACTTTTCTATTTTCTGTAGCGTACACTGTACATGTTTGTGTTCACCTTGCTCTGAAATGTTTAATTAATTTCATCATGAAACAAAGAAAAGCATTACAGGGTGCATTTTTCTCCCAAAAGGTCAGACAGCGTAGTTCTGGACAATATCCTGACTTCTGGAGCTTCCGTCAACTTGCAGGTTATTTTAAATGTTGTGTTCTGATGATAAAGCCAGTGAAGTACTTTTTCAACACCAGTTTTAGACCAGGAGCTCATTTCACCAAGCATGTTTTCTCAGATAGCCAGATTACTTAAGCCCAAAGTTAAGGCTTTCTAACAGGAGTGTCCTTACTGAACAATCCTCACTTAAATTTTCAATCTTGAATGGGTCTCCAGCTTACTGAGAAGCTGCTATGTTTGTATTACAGCTGAATGTTTTGCACTACTGTTAACACACTGCTGTGTTATTAGTGCTGTATTTCTGTCAGTTTGTCATCGTGGCAATCAGCACACACAGTTATTTTTATATATCTAACTATATCGCCAGCCTATTGACTTCTCTAGTTAGCAACATTAGCCTCATGGCTCTATTGCTAAACTAAAAAAGCAAAGTCTGGACACTAAACATGTAAAAAAAGATCTCCATTTTTTGTTTTTTTTTTTCCCCCAAATAATTTGAACTCAGTTTTGTCATTGTATGAATAAGTGAAAAAAACATTAAAAAAATAATAATAAAAAATGAATGGACCAATAAAAATGTTCAAAACTTGTTTGGAAAAAATCTTTGCAATTTTACTTATATTAAAAATTAAAGAAAGTTCTGCCCTCTCCTCTAAAGTTACTATTGTGGAGATATTTGTTTTTCTTTAGACAGTGATAGTTTATTTTTAGACTTATTATTATTAGACTTTGTTGTTGTTGTTATCATTATTATTATTCTCAGCATCAAACTCAGGAAGTCCCAAACTGAATCCTCCTCTACTTGGACAATGACAATAAAGGTCTATTCTGTTGTACTTTCTTTAGTCCTGCTCTTCACATATACAGTCGTCTGCATTAGTTTGGGCACTATAGGTCAAATTACATGTTTCCAAGTAAAAATAAGTTCACATCCTCTACATAGAACACAGTTCTGCACATCTTAATGCACAGTTACTGTTTATTTTGCAACACAATTTTGCTAAAGTTACGGCACATTTTATATTTTCCCAATATATTAAACTCAACATACAGAAACTGTGCAGTAAAGTTACCAAAAAATGCCGTATTTAGGTTTCCTGTAAAGGATGTTAACTTACACTTCAACAAAAGACAGAATTCAGTACACTTCTGTATTCGATTGTACATCTTCTGAGTTCACATCCACCTGTACAGTTTGGTTTAACATTCAAGGCCCTAAAAAGTATATAAATCCATCATAAACATTAGTGGCCACTACATTTAATAACACAGCGCTTGGTCACCTGCTCAGTGTTGATGTATATGTAGTGAATGTAGGTAAATCAGTGAGAGCACATTGACATACATATCAGGACCCACAGTGAAGAAGAGCTCACACTGGAAGCTGAGAGGTTGCCACTACATACTGTAAGCTACATTCTGACTGGACAGATGATAAAGATCAGAGAGCAGAGAGTAAACAACAACTCAGCTGCTCCTTCACTGCTTCTATTATTAAAATGCATTACAACAATAATAGCACTATTGTTGATATATAATAAAATATGACACAGTATTTTATTATAATGATAAATATGAATACTGTAGTTATTATAACCATGAGCATTAGTAGAGGTTCCAGGAGCAGAAACAGTTCATTAATAACTGTAACTGCTACACTGCTAAAAAGATGGTTCTTCAAGGGTTCTTTAGTAAAAATATTGATTCTATGTAGAACCATTAACTCTCAAAGAATGCTATTTGCATGCTTAAATGGTGAAATGGTTCTTCGGATTGGAAAAAAAAATGTGAAAAATGTGTTGTATACTCTTAAAAAAAGATGGTCCTTCAAGGGTTCTTTAGTGAAGAAATGGTTCTATATAGAACCATGAACACTCAAAGAACTGAATGATTATAGGTTCTTTGCATCATGAAAGTGTTCTTCAGACTGATGGAGAATGTGCTGTAGTTGGTTCTATGCACAACCTTCTTGAAAATGATTCTATGTAGCACCAAAAAGGGTTCTTCTGTTGTTATGATGTCAAGATTGTTACAATAAAAGAACCCTTTTCGAAAAAGTTCTGTATAGAACCGTCTACAACAGATTCTCCATCAATCTGAAGAACCATTGCACCATTCAAAGAATCCTTTAAGCATGCAAATGGTTCGAGTGCTGTCTTTACTACAGAACCACTTTAAGAGTGTATGTTATATATTATATATAATGATTTGTATACTTATTATACAGTAGTTATTACAAACAGTAAAACGTGTCTAAAGAGCAGAAGCCTGTTATAAATGTAATAATGGTGGAAAACTGATCAATAATTGTTTAAGTTAATGTTGATCTAAACGCACACGTAACCAGCCTTTCACTGCCTACACATCTTATTCCAGCTCGTGCACTGTGTCTGCTCTTTGGCTCGCTCTGTTTTCCTCACCGGTGGGGGATGTCCCTCTTGCCCGCGAGCGTCTCTCCCATGGTCTCGAGCTCTGCGCTTTGCTCCATGGCTCTCTGACTCTCCTCGCGCTGCTGCTGCCCGTTTACTCTCAACTCCGTTTTTCAAACCCAAACATCGCGTGCGCGAGGACCCCTCCTGCGGCTCCCCTGCGTAAAACGGGAGCGAGAAAAGTGACGTGCGCACGCGGCCTACAGCACGGAGCGGCCCAGGGCACGCGGTTTACGCACGCGGGGGCTATTATCAGGGAGGCGTGTTATCAGAGCGTTGACAGTCAGGTTATCACTGACCGGCAGAGGACCCCCGCCAAGTGCACACTGCGCACGTGCGTCATCTCGGCACTCGAGATTTCCTTCTGAACACCAAAATAAACCTACCTTGTGCTTCCACTCGCTGGCCACTTTATTAGAAACACCCACCTTGAGCTTCCACTCGCTGGCCACTTAATTAGGAACACCCATCTTGTGCGTCCACTTACTGACCACTTTATTAGAAACACCCAACTTGTGCTTCCATTCACTGGACCCTTTATTAAAAACACCCACCTTGTGCTTCCACTGGCTGGCCACTTTATTGGAAACACCCACCTTGTGCTTCCACTCGCTGACCACTTCATTAGAAACGCCCACCTTGTGCTTCCACTCACTGGCCACTTTACTAGAAACACCCACTTTGTACTTCCACACTTTGGCCACTTTATTGAAAACAACCAAATTATAGTTCCATGGTTTCACATAAGCACAGCCAAAAACATCCTTCACCATTAAGTGTGCGTCTGTTCACCACAGACACAGCTTTTACACGATGAAGACGATAGAAGTTCAAATCAGACAGGGGAGCAAATAACACCCAAACCTAGGCTAAAGCATACTGCCACAGCAGGCACCAAACATGTTTAAGGTGCATTTATATTCTGCTTTTGATGACTCGATGCACAAACAGATGTTTGCTTTGACATTTTGACACAGCCCATTTTAGCTTTTGCGGCAAAAAAGCATTGTAAGTACCAAATTCGACCACTGATAACAACCCTGTTCTTTAAATGTGTTTTTGGCTTTGACGATGGGAAGACAACATCCCTGGCCTACTCCATCTGGGACAGGATCTCACATTGGTAAAGAATTGAAAGCTTGAGGCAATGGCGAACAGCAACAGACGCTAAGCAGTGATTGACAGGCTGAGAAAATAAAACGGGTCGATTGCACTGCACCTCGCACATTCAGGAATGATGAATGAGAGTGAAATAATTTTGACTGGTCATAATACAATGATATCACTCACAGAAAACATGAATTGCAGTTTAAAATATTCTTTCCCTCATTTGATTGAACAGTCCTGTGATCAATCTGGGTACACAAGAGCTTAACGATGGCTACGTCCCTGCTAACAGCCTGAGGAAGAACCACTGAAAGGAACCAAGGCTCAAAAGGACACACTCTCTACGAGCGTGAGGAGGAATCACTGCATGTTTATTTACTGGCATCTAAAAGCAACTACACTGTTACATGAGCATGTGACATATCAATATTGGAATCACAGTTTGGTGGCTTGTCCTGTCTGTGAGTGAGTGAGATACAGAGTGTTGAGTTTGTTCTCTGGTGCAGGTTTGGTTTTGTTGTGCATTCTCTCAAACTCGGCACTGATCTCCATGATGCTTCTGTTCCGCGTCTCCGGCACGCCGTACCACACAAACACACCCGAGACAAAGCAGAAGAAGAAGAAGATGAGAAAGCAGAAGAAGTCCAAATACTCCTGCAAAACAAACATCAGAAAAGAGAGAGATGCTTTAGAATGATGGGACAAATGATCTTCCTACATAAATACCTAAGGGTACTTATCTTTTGCGGCTAGCATGAGTTCTGGGGCTCCTTTTCTTCTATAGTTTGTAAATGTGCTGTTATTTCACTGTAACCTCTTTAAGAGTCTGTGTGGGGCCCAAACTTCAGCCCCTCGCTCTTGTAACTACAGTGTCATAGTAGATATTAAATAACTCATCGTAGATACTGAATAATTAATCATAAAAACTGAACAATTCATTGTAGATACTGTATAATTACAGTATTGAATAATTAATTGTAGACACTATATAATCATAGTAGATAAGTCATAGTGATTACTTTATTCATAGTAGTAAATGAATAATTGATGTTCGTTACTAAATAATTACAGCAATCACTGAGTAATAAGTCTTAATATTAAGACCTTATTATAATCTTAGTATTGTGTAAATTTACAATATTTAAAGGTATCTTTTTGACAATTTTCCACAATATTTAGTTTTTCTCAGTTTTGTTTTCTGCTCTAAGAGCAGAGACATATAAAGACTAAAAACTATGACTGTTTTTCAAAAATAAACAATTTAAGCAGGAAAAGGAGAAAACGTTGTTTAAAGACTTCATATAATTGGTCTAAATCTGTTTATTTATGATCCATGCAATTGTTCAGTGCTGACCACACCCAACATATCTATTTATAACATTGTCATATTGCTCACCCCAGTGTGAATGTATAATGTACCGTATGAGGCACTCACCACAATGAGAGGAAACACCATGCCAACAAAAAATAGCCCCATCCAGTTCAGTGTACACGCCACAACGAACGCCGCCGTTTTATACGACTGAGTAAAAATCTCACCAGGGAGGGGCGCTGTCACACCAGCTGAGAGAGAGAGAAAGAGAGAGAGAGAGAGAGAGAGAGAGAGAGAGAGAGAAATTGTAAACACGCAGCACAAACAACAGGGAGCTGTGGTAATTACTAAACCATAAAAAGTCCAGTATAATCACTATAACAATGGACAGGGTGCACTAACCTGGTCCACTGGAGAAGAAAAAGATGAAGATGAAGATGAGGACCATGCTGCAGTACGGCATCCATGAAACGTATTCCTGCAACATCAAACATACAACATAACTGTGATGAGGCTGGATGCAAGTGCGAGCTGGTTTTATTTAAATCCAATTTAACAGAGTCCCGAAACAGATTAGCAGAGGTTCGTAGAACACACAAATCCATGATGAGACAAAACAGAACTAAAACAGAAACAAAACCTAATACCAGTGAAAACAGGCAATAGCAACAATGTACACAGACAATGCAAGACAAAGAGACAGAGCAAACACAAGGGTAGAAATACACTGAAGGGAAACAAGAAACACCTGGGACTAATCAGAGGGCGAGTACACAGACTACAGACAGGGATAACAGATGACAAGGGGACGGGACCAGGGAAGAGACTAAGACCAAAACAACAACAAAAGCACAGGGCACATGACGGACGTAAACAAAAACACACGGCACTGGGAAGCAAGAAAACCAAGGCTACAACAGAGAAAGACATGGACGAGGCACGAGAGGACATTATATGCTGATTCACACAATAACCACTAAATCTTCCCTCTACGTAACAGGCACTAATAATAAGGTTCGAATGGACAATACAGGATGAGGGAGTATCCACAAGCTGTATACATGATAGAAAAATCGGAGACCGCCCTTCATTTATGTCATTTCCACTCAAATGTTTTCATTTTTCCAGTGCCAGATATAATTTTTTTAGTGTTCAGTGAGTCACTCTTCACCTTTATTACAGCTTCCATTCTTTTCAGGAGACTCACTTTCAGTTTCTCACAGAAATCTGCAGACACACCTCCAAAGTTCAGTCTTAAAAGTTGGTTGATCAATTTCTGAAGTAATCAAGCACATTCGGTGAGGTTGAGGTCTGGACTCTGGGGTGTTCAGCTTTTTTTTTTTGATGTGTCTGTCTCCTTTCCTCAGTGAAGCTTCTTGACAGCTACACATCCTTTCAGACCCATAGTGGTGAGTTGTCTTCTCACAGTGGAAGGATGGACAGAAACACCTGTGGATCTGAAGCAGCTTGATTTTCTCCTCTCTCTCAAAGACGAAAGCTTTAAGTGCTGTTTATCTGATGAGGAGTTTTGGTATCTACCAGGTCTGCCAGGTGGTTGTTAGGAGTAACATTTTCTCTGTAGCTTTTAATCATTTTTTTGAACTCCAGTTTTGCAGACTCCTATTTTCTTCTGACTTTTTTCATGTTCAGGTTTATGTGCAACACTAACACTTTTAGTACACTGCTGATTTTCAGATTTTTACGTCTAGTACAGCAGTAGTCCTCAAAGCAGTCATCAGGAACTCCCAGACTTTTTTGCTCTAACCCTATGCATGGCAAGCTTAGGTTGGAACAAAAATGTGGACAGTCTAGGGCAGAGGTCCCTAATAGGCGAACCACGGTCCGAGTCCGGACCCAGGAGCTGTCCTATGCGGACCTGGACCTATAGCCAATAAACTAAGGAGAATTATTTAATTCAACCGGATGGTCCTATTTTAATCGGCGTAACTCAGTACGCTTTAGCGGCCCGAGAAACTCACAGACCAATCGCATGTGTTGTAAAAATCACACGTGACGCTACTCAGCCAATTAGATCTGTGCATTATGATGAGCACTAAGAGTGAGTGATGCACGCACAGGGGAGGGATGAGGCAAGACACCGCAGCTGGAGAAGAAAGTGAGCCAGATTATTTTACATGGTGTGCTCTAAAAAGAGAAAACTGACAATAAATATTGTTGAAATATTACTGAATTGTACTTTATTTGATTTGACATTCAGTTGTTGACTGCATAAGATGTTGATATAACTACTACTTCATTATACAGTATATGGCACAGAATCATAATGCAAGTTAGACATTATGATGTTCCAGACCTTTGCTTGAGGAAATTTTCTTTGACTGGAGCTATTTATTTTTATTTAATTTTAATTAAAGACCTCTGGTCTAGGGGGTCCCTGTGGACTGATTTGAGAACCACTGGCGTATTAAAATTGTTACATCCTTGAAAAAAAATACTGCTGCACAATTTATCAGCCCCTATCCATCTATGGAATGCGCCACAATGGGACCACTGCTGATGTTTCTGACAAAATGGCCTAATAGCGTAGGTACAAAGTAGGTGTTCCTAAAAAACAGCTTAGTGTGATTTGCTGGTGAGTTAAATTAGGTGTGTCAGGTCGATTTTACCTTCTGTTTCTTCTTGGATGTGTGTCACTGACTGAGCCCCAGCTAACAGGAACAATGCTGGTCTGACCACTAATGGTCTAAGAAATCACTCCTAATTGAGCCGATTGAGGTTTAATACCTGACATGATGCGTCTTGTTGTAGTGGAGTGAGTGAGTAACTGACCTGCAGGTACAGCATGATGGTCAAGATGAGCAGCGTAGCGGCCATCCCCAGATAACCCCGAATCAACAGCACTCTCTTCCCTGTGCTCTCAATCACCATCCCCTACATATACAACCAGGAGAACATAAACAATCAGAAACAGATTCAACGCTGCAGGCTTATTGTTCAATTATTAATTCTGAGACTTAATATTCAGTAAGTGTTATGAATTATTTAATAACTACTATGAATTATTCAGTAGCTACTATAAATTATTCAAAAACTACAGCGAATTATTCAGCAACTACTATGAATGATTTAATAACTTTGATTTAGTAACTGTGCAACGTACAACAGCAAAAAGGGTTCTGCTATTGTTACAATATGAGCTTGTAACAACAGCAGAACCCTTTATGGTGCTTTATAGAACCCTTTAATCATGCAAAAGGGTCTCTGAGTGCCCATGGTTCTATATAGAACCACTTTCTTTTCTAAAGAACCCTTGAAGAACCATCTTTTCTAAGTGTGTAGGCTTAGTAAGGAGTTAAAGAAAGCATGAAACTGAACGCACAATGAAAACATACACTCTTAAAAAAGGGTTCTTCAAAGAAGGCGCTTCAAGGGTTCTTTAGTAAAGAAACTGATTCTACATAGCACCCAAAAGGGTTCCTCTATTGTTAATTGTTACAAGCTTTTGGGTGCAATATAGAACCCTTCATAAAAAGGTTCTATATAGAACCATCGACAGCACATTTTCCATCAGTCTGAAGAACCCTTTTTATGATGCAAAGAACCCTCTTTAAGAGTGTAGATCTTGCATGCACACACACACACACACACACACACACACACACACACACACATATATATATATATGTAATAAATATGTATGTGTAAATAACACACACAAGAGGTACGCTATGACCCCTGTGTGTGTAATCAACATAAGTCTTACACAGGCGACAGTGGTGGATATCTCACACAGTCCTGTCCCCAGAGCCACATAGCGCAGGTTCTGGGCCGGGATACCTGCAGCACGGAACACATCAAACGAGTACAGGTACACCTGCAGAAGCATACACACACGGCTCACAGGTCTCTCACAATACACGAGAGGTGAGAGACATGACTTTCCTCCTCAGTGTAAATGTCAAACTCAGAAAGGCAAATGCTGATCAGCACTGAGAGCTGAATACTAATGAAATTAATATTTGGTGATCGTAGACAGCTGTAGGCTCTGTGATGGATTTTCTGTTTGCAGATTGAGCCTACATCCTATATTTCCAATCACGGTAAAAAAGAGAAATCTGGCTTCTAGATTCTAACAGCAGGATTCTCACAACTTGAAGTCATCAAAAGCTTGAAGATTTGCTGCCATCACTTGAGATTAGAGTTTAACAACTCTACTTGGTTTGAGGCAAGTGTTTAATGATTTAGGCATGCAGTTAGCACCATACTAATTGATGGAATATAAGTGTTCATTACATTATTAGTCTTGTAGCTCCAGGGCAAAAGTAAAGAAGTAAAGTTTAGATACCAGATATTTCTTGGCAGATAGACAAGTTACTGCTTTAATACAATACAATTAAACAGAAAGCAATATATTTTATTTTCAGTAAAGGTTACATTAGCCTCATAGCTCTGCTGCTGGATACTATAAATTTCACTGTTCCTATGCAATAATGTGTCCACAAAGTAGTGATAAATACACATGCAAATAAATAAATGTAAATAAGTTAACACATACTCTACAGAGACGCACAAGTTTTTAATGTGGAATGTTGATGATGGTAAAATAGTTTTGTTTTGTTTTTGCCTTACAAGGGTCTGCATGTTTGTTTTAGACAAAACCTATTGTAAAACAATGTCTTAGACATCAGGCAGCAAATTCATAATCACTTTATGCCATAATATTCTGTGAGGGAGCTTTTAGAGGTGAATGTCTGGTTCCTACCACCACCACTGTGAAAAATTCTGCCTCACCAAGTTTCTCCAGAATGGAGCATTTCACACCAAACCACTCTCAATGACTATGTTTACATCTTAACTCTTTAATTTTGAAGATATTTTGAAAAAAACAGCAGAATCCTCTTTTTCTTTGTAGAGGATGTGTTGTGTTCAAAATCAACAAAGCAGAGAATTTGATCAAGGGTGTTTAAACATTTGCATACGACAATATCTATGCTGTTGATGCTATCAGTGCTGGTCAACAGGTGTAGACGATATTTCACCCCGCAGTTTGACTCACAGCGTTGATGCCGCACAGTTGTAGTGTGGTGAAGGTGACGATGATGGTGAAAAGTTGCCAGCGAACAGATCGGGACAGCAGCAGCTCCAACACACCATGACTCTTCACACCCTGCTGCGCTGCATGCTCCACCTGCATCTCTTCCACCTCTGAACTGAGGTCCCCACCGGCCCCCAGCAGCCGCCGCAGAGCTACATACGGACATTCATTTACACACTCACAAAACACACATTCTAATACGATTCTGATGTCAATTTTTAAACTGATTTTCATTATTTTACGTGTCGCAGGGAACACTTCATAATGTTTAAAATCTTTCTATTTAAATATAAACAACTTTATTTATATTTAGTAAAAAGTAAGAATTTCTTGTTTTTTAAAAACAGTAGTTGACATCTAGTGACCTTTCTTAGATGAACACGGGTTTTAGTCTGGACTTCAACTTGATGTCACCAGCTCTCATAAACATTTATCACATTCCATCACCAGCACACTTGATTTAAGCAATAAAGGGCTGATTAAATAAACCAGGACTTGATGATAACTACAATTAGTACTGGGCTGCCATGAGATTTAAAAATGGATAAAGGATGTTTTTGTCTTTATTCTAACATTATCACTCTTTTGAGTATTACTGTCCAGATAAATAGCCTTTTAAATATAATTTTCTCATTACTGTAGACTACATAGACTGTATGTGTTTAAGAAATAATCATTAGTTACAGTCTAATTGTTCCATTTAAATGTAACTGTAAAGGTTCAAATGGGCTGTCGAAAAGCAGAGGGTCATATTTAGTTGCTCACCTTTCTCACAGCCTGGTCTGTCCCCCCGGTCCAATAGCAGATAGCGAGGAGACTCCGGCAAGAAGGGCAGAGTGACCAGCTGCAGAAAACCAATAAACCCACTGAAGGCCAGCAAAAAGGGCCAGCGGTCTTCTGTCCCCATCACCTCACTATAAATACACATACATACAGTGTGAATCATACAATGACATTCATAAGGGTCAGCTTATTCCCCACAGGTCCATTTATGACATCTGTGTGGGTTTTATACCAAAAATAGTCAGAATTCATGTTGACCATTTTTCCATAAGAAATTGAAAAGGCTTTTTTTGTTACTGTGCCTTTAAGACTGATATACATGAATGAGCTCTTTTCTGATTGAGCCTCATTTAAAAAGCAGTCTGGGCTGAAACACTCCTTATAACTTCACCGTAAATCTGCAGGGCTAATCTGCTGTAGGCTGAACAGGCAGACGTATGACATCACAAAAACAACTTATTAAAAAATGGCTGGCTTTGCAGCTTAATTTCCATGTATGGACTGTGTGCTGTGAAACTTTAGCAATGTTTACATGCTACATCAAATTCAGTTTTCCATGACATGGGTCCTATAAGCATGTGAAACTCTGATGAGTCCTAATTAGGCCTGTCACAATGATTACATAATTGCCTAATCACAATTTTTTGAGATGATTGCAATCGTTTGAGATTATTTAAACTGACTGCAATCATTTTCTACAGTTGTTAGATTTCAAGGTCACATTATACTACCACAAACAAAATGAGAATTGAGTGTGCTGGGTTGAGGTAAATAAAGGTAAATAAAAGAAAGCAGTAAATGCATCCTTTGAAACACCAAGGGGCTAGTGCCAGCTCTACCTAATAATCAACATAAGCAGCTGCTTAAGACCTTGTTGCCACCAGGGGGCCCCCTAACAACTTCTGGGTTATGACTGTAATGACAAAAAAAATTCACAATTACATATTGTCCCCAAACTGTTCAGTCATAATACATGATTTTATATATATATATATATATATATATATATATATATATATATACACAAATTTATACACACACAAATTTATACACATACAAACACACACATATAATACATATACTGTGTATAATACAATTATATTTATTCAGCATTTTACATACTGTGCTGCAGCAAATCCAATTAAACAGGATTTATTCTGCTGTCTTTGTAATCAAATATGCAGTTGTGTTTTTGGAAGTACTGTCAACACACTATGCTTTTCTGTACTGTCAGTACTTCCTATAATATTGTCACAAAGGTTATCAGGATAACGGTACGCATTGTCATACTGCCCAGCCCTATAGTGTCACATATTTAACGTATCTAGTCAGTGAAATTAGCAACTGCCCAGTGGCTTTTACTGTAAGTATGTTTCAAGTCAGTGTGTTTGTGTTTTTCTAAGTACAGGAAAATGTGTCTGTGGTAATCAATTATGCAGCAGGCAGATAGAGACCATGTTAAAAAATGTTGGAGTACTCCTTTAACTGACTTTTGTCTGCATGTGCAGGGGGGTCTGAGGGCACTGGCAAAAATGCTTTTATTTTTAATTTTAATACAAAGTTTTTCATTAAAAAATTGCATAACAATATCATCATAACAATTTGAGGGAAAAGTAGGATCTTTAAGAGTTTACATGAATTTCAGAATTCCTTAGTACTTGGTGGCGTGTCCCTCTTTTGCTTTAATGACAGCATGGACTCAAGCTAACATGACAGTGACAAAAGCTTCTGATTACATAAAATCCACCTGAGAGTCATCTGAACGTGAGCTTCAGTGGAAGAATAAGACTAAAAATGTGGTCAATTACACAACTTTGCTTCTATCTTAATAGTGAACTAGACACAGTGTAGAATTTAAAATTATTCAAGATGCTAAAACTTCATTTTCAGTTCTAAATGAAAAAAATATCAGATTTTCAATGTGGTCTCAGACTTTTGGTCACTGTATGTGGTCTTTTAATGATGTAGATATATACAATGACTGGATTCAAAATTGGTTGATGATCACCCACCTGAGGCCAAGCACTTGGCCAGAAAATTTGCCAAATGAGACAAAGCCGCCGACGGAAACACCCACCATCCCTCGCAGCTTCTTGGGGGCGCACTCCAGCACATACATAGTATGGACAGTCAGAGCTACACCTACACAGCACACATACAAACATTTTAACACAATGTCCATATATATATACATATACATTTAAAAACACACACAACAATAATACACCAACCACCTCATTGAGTCCACGTCCTTGTTTCTACCCTCACTGTTCATTTTATCAGCTCCACTGACCATATAGGTGCACTCTGTAGTTCCACAATTAGTACTCATCAGTGGTCACAGGACGCTGCCCACAGGACGCTGGACACAGGACGCTGTTGGCTGATGTTTTTGGTTAGTGGACTATTCTCAGTCCAGCAGTGACACAGAGGGGGTTAAAAACTCCAGCAGCACTGCTGTGTCTGATCCACTCGCACCAGTGCAACACACACTAACACACCACCACCATGTCAGTGTAATTTCAGAGCTGAGAATGATCCACCACCCAAATAATACCTGCTCTGTGGGGGTCCTGACCATTGAAGAACAGGGTGAAAGGGGGCTAACAAAGTATGCAGAGAAACAGATGATCTACAGTCTGTAATTGTAGAACTAAAAAAGTGCACCTATATAGTAAGTGGAGCTGATAAAATGGACAAGTGTGGAAACAGAGAGGTAGACTGAAGTGAACGGTCTATGCATATATGTATATATATATGCATGTATGTATCCACAGTATATGTAATAATATTTCCTATATATCTACAGAATCTGATCCCGTTTTTTTAGCAAACCTGCATTGATGCCATAAAGGAAACGTGCTGCCATGATCATCTCGAAGGAGTGGGCAGTTTTACTCAGCAGCACCAGCACGGCTCCACAGATGGCCAGCACATTGTTCAGTACCAGGCATCTCTTCCTAATGAGAGAGGAACAGGAGGAGCTGATTAAAAATACAAGGTCGCATCCCACAGGATTCTGTGTTGTGAACATAATGCCAAGATACAGATACAGTTTACGGAGCGGTCATATTCAACTACTTCATCAGACCATACAAACAGGACCACTCAAAACTCACCACTCAATCACTGCTCTCAATAATAATAAACATACAACATGATTCAAGCACTTTATAACTTTACAGGTAAATATTTAGTATGAAGCTGTCATAAATGAAGAAATGTATATACAATGAGGCTCTAACAAAATTAATATCCAGAATGAAGTTCTAATAAAATAAATATCCAGAATGAAATCATAATGAAATTAATACTCAAAATTAAATTATAATAAAATAAATAATTACAATAATAAGTGACATATTAAATAAAAGAAACACCACTTACTGTCATTTTTACTGTATAATGTTTTTATAATGTGATTCCAAATTTCTAAACTGTAGTGGGCTGTTACTGCTATCAGTAGCTTCAGTGCTGAATACTGAGCTGGGGGCCTACGTGTGGGTTAATATTTTTTCTGCTCTGACAAAACTAATTCAGCTCCTAAAAGAGTTAATAATAGTCAGAAGTGCTGAATCTGCTGTGTTAGAGCAGAAAAAAATGCAGACCCACAGAAAACTGAAATTTACAGTCCATACATGATGTCATGGCACCAACTAATACTTACATGTAATCTGCCTATTCAGCTTCAGCAGTTCAGCCCTGCCCATTTACACTGATATTATAAAGAGTGTTTGCTTTTTGAGTGATGCACAATACAGGGGAGCCAATCTGAACAGAGTTCATTTACATATCAGTCTTAAAGGCACAGTAACAAATCCAGCCTGGTTTCTAAGCGATAAAGAGAGGCTAGAAAATGACATAAATGTATAGAGATCAGGGGGAGAAATTAAAATACAAGAAAACTGTATGATATAGACCCTTTACAGATATACAGAGAGAACCACTGGCCTAAGCAGCACAGACACACATCATCACTGGTGAGAGTAAAACTGTCTATAAAGAAAATTGCTCAAGTCAGCCAAACTCAACCTATTTATACCAGCTCAGAGCAGCCTGAGGAAGGCCCAGCACCTGGTGGCCATTCCTCTGCATTTCCCTGATTATATTCCAGTCAATTCTGCAATTAAATGCCACTGTTTCTCTCCTGACGTTAATAAACCACTCATTGAATTACCTGAAGTCAATCAATACACAATTGACTCACACCTTCACAGCAGTGTGGCAACGTCCAATAAAAACAAGCAGTGCAGCAAAACGTAATCCCAGTGCAAGAGATTCACACATTAACAGCATTAACTTTTAATCATTACCCCCCTCATCACCTCTCAGTGAGGCTCTTACTGACAGACATGATATTCACTCAGGTCGAGTTGACTTAAATGCTGTCCAATGGCTCCCTCCTTCAAACATGCCTTTGTCTCCTAATTACTATTTACTAATACGCTAAAATACATTGAAACAAGGTAATCAAATGATTATTTTTGATAGTTGAGTATTTTAAAAAAACAGGCAGAGCAATTAAAATGGACTTAACTGCATAATATCAATCTGCAGATAGCGACACGTGGGCAATATAAAGATACTTTATCATATCGGGTTAAATTACGTCACAATAAGCTTTTCTGAGAATATCTTGAATTAATAAACTCTGACCATACAATATAATTAATCCTGTTTAATTGCATTCTGTGAAAAGGTGACTGAAAATCATTGTGTTCATCAATCATACGCAATCATTGTATAGAAAAACTAAATATTATGATGCATTATGTACTGTGAAATATCTTGATTTTGTATTTGTGTCATATTTCTCCTCATCCCTTTCAGGCTGTTTCTTGTGGGAGTTGATTGTTTTCTACTGTCCAAAGCACTCTCAAAAGTCTTCTCCAGCACCAAATTTCAAAGTGACATAGTGCTGTTGTCGAAACAAAACCTCGTATCTCCAAAATGCTAACTTTACAGGAGAAGGAATAAACCTACTTTACTTTTAATGTAAGGCATTGGAACCAGACTCCATCCCTTTCAGGCTGTTTCTTACCGTTGAGAGACCAATAGTCTAAATTAAAACATGCATTATTGTTTACAGTGTCTAAACAAAAATTGCTGTTTCACTGAGATCATTTTTTATGGATAATCAAGTTTAATAATGTAATCAAGTAATCATGACATCTTTAAAATCATGAAAGTGTATTTCTGGTATTTCTTCATAACACCAAACCACTATTTAAATACATTAAAAGTGATCATCTGCGCTATTACTGTTATATTGTGTAAACTATGTAAACGTCTTGTCCTGGCATACACACCGCAGAACGACCGTCATAATAGAGCTCTTTACGAGAATAGTCATGGATAGTCAAAGAACCATTTGCATGATTAAAGGGTTCGTTGCATCATGAAAGGGTTCTTCAGACATTTTTCCAACCTGTCTTTGTCCCTTAATTATTAAACAGGCTGTTTTTGTTACTCTGCTTTTACAACTGATACGTAAATGAGCTCTATTTAGATTGGCTGCCCTGCATTGTGCAAGTCAGAAAGCAGTCCAGACTGAAACACTCCTTATAACTTCAGTGTGGTGGAGCTAAACTGCTGTAAGCTGACTAGGCGGATATATGGAAATAGCTCTCACGACAAAAAACAGTGAAACAGGCTATTTTTATTCATATATGGACTGTAAAGACTGGGGAGAGATCTGTACATTTTGAAGTATATTAATCATTAAAGGATTTTTGTTATTGGAATCATCAAAATTTGAAATGGTTTGATTATCACTGGGTTTTATATTGTAGGGTAAAATGTTCCATCCCTATATCCCTATCTAAGGTTGACAAACAAGTCTGCTCTAGAGTCTTGTATTACTATGGCTATACCTCTCGCATGCATGACTGCTCTAAGAAATATGATCAGCATTCTCATTTACAGGACTGATTATAGGATTCTGTTTCTAGGTTGATTCAAACGCCTCAGGATTTCTAAGGATACTGTATCAACTAAGTGATATATCTTATACCTAAGAAACATATATCTACAGCTACACTGTCACTGACCACTTCATTAGAAACACCCACTATGTACTTCCACTCACTGGCCATTTTATTAGAAACAACCACCTTGTACTTCCACTAATTGGCCACTTTATTAGAAACACCCACCTTGTTCTTCCACTAACTGGCCACTTTATTAGAAACAACCACCTTGTACTTTCACTCACTGGCCACTTTATTGAGAACACTCAGTGTACTTCCACTGACTGACCACTTTATTAGAAACACCTTGCAGCTCCACTATATGGGTGTACAGTTACAGACTGTAGTCCACCTGTTGCCCCTCTACCTCATTTATCATTGATCAGTTTCTGACCACAGGACCGCTGTTGTCCAGAAATAATGTGGATGGTGGATAATTGTCAGCACTGCAGAACTGCTCGTGCACGTGATGCTGGTATGAGTGTATCAGACACGGCGGTGTTGCTGGGGTTTTTACACACATCAGTGTCAGTGCTAGGTTAAGAGTGATCCATCCACCCAAAAATTTCTAGAAACTGACCCCTGATGAAGGACTAGAGGATGGATAACAGCTCATGCATAAACACCCTAGGGGTACTCATACTTTTTGTCTTGGGTATTCAAAGTGCAATGTCTGTGGTGGGCTAAGGGCCAAAAAGACCAACTTGTGTACAAATTAGGAAGGAAGGTAGGTTTCAAATCAAGTGTTTACAATGTATTTCAGACCATTACATGATATTTAATTACTAAATTAAGAAAGAAAATAAGAACTGAATATATCATATCTAGCATAAAAACATGTTTTTCCTGTCATCGGGTGAGGAGGTGGGGTTAGGGTAACTTTCTAGCAGGACAGATTAAATGTATCTCTGTATGTCTACTTACAAATAACTCAAAGGATCCGATGACTGTATGCTCTATTCATAAAATACTCCAGAGATTATAATTCTAAATTACACTGTCACAATTACTTGATTAAACTGAAATCATTGAGACAAAAATCAGTGATTGAAATTTACCTTCTTAATGAATCAGCAGTGATTTGATGATAATTTTTTATTTAGTGTAGTCAGTTCTGACTTCTGGTAACCATATGGAGTCTTTTTCCAGAATGTCCTGTCTTCTGTTGGGGTCTGCAGGCTCCCTAATGGCTCATTCATGATTCCTCTGATTGAGGCCCCCCACTTTTGTTGCTGGCCATCCTCTTCATCCTTTACCTCCAACTCACAAACTGCATATATTGCAATGTGTACAACTATACACATCATAGCTCTTATTTCATAACTTATATTATTGTACAAAACTGTACATTGGAATTGTGCCATGCTGTGTGTATTTAGAGTGTAATGTGTGTGTGTGTGTGTGTGTGTGTATATATATATATATATATATATATATATATATATATATTTCTTTTCTTTCTTATAAATTTTTTGTATATTTGAACACCACGAATTTTTGTATATTTGAACACTACGAACCTAAGATTTTCACTCACCTTCACACCTGTGTAAATACGATGTGACAAACATGATTTGATTTGATTTGTTCTGAGCATAACTGTCTTGTCCAAAACAAGAGCTTCAGTTTGGTAATCTGGGCTTTGAGTGGGAGGTGAGGCTTGTTTGAGACTTGATTGTTTTCTACTGTCCAAAGCACTCTCAAAAGTCTTCTCCAGCACCAAATTTCAAAGTGACATAGTGCTGTTGTCGAAACAAAACCTCGTATCTCCAAAATGCTAACTTTACAGGAGAAGGAATAAACCTACTTTACTTTTAATGTAAGGCATTGGAACCAGACTCTGTGTCATATTTCTTGATTGCTGTGTCCTTTGTTGATGATGATAATGCATATTATACATTCTCTTAGGGGTGGGCAAATTTGGCAAAATAATGTATAATATCACGATACTCTGTCACACTCAATACAATCAAACAGGACTAACTGTGCTGTGCTTGCAATGGAACATGCAGCCGGTCAGTTTTCTTTAAGCACCGACGATACTTACCTCCCGTAAGCAGCAGCCAGACGTCCGGCCCCCAAACAGCCAAGCAGGCCCCCGATGCAGTACATGGAGACAGTGAAGGACCAGATGAGGGACAGTTCCCAGGCCTCCAGAGTATGATCATAGCGCTGGACACACGTCGCATTTATCAACTCTTTTATATACTGAAAAAACAAAAACAAAGTTTGATTAGACCAGCAACCTTTTTTATTACATCCTGCAGTGCTTTATTTATCATGTAATTAAATCAGAGGTTAAAAAGTAAAAGTCCTGCCGTGATTTTGTATCACTTAGTCAATATAAGAGTAATTTTACCTGCTAGTTTGAGCAGGTAAATTGCAAATTCAGGAATCTTATTTTCTGAACCTGAACTATTTACCACTGCAGTTAATTAATCCTATAAATACATGGACAGATTATAAATCAGCACAATTCTGAAGGAGAGTATGGTGAATGTATATATAAAAGCACTTTTATTTACTTACAGTCTTATGTTAAAGTATTTTAATGCACAATTACTGTTTATTTTCTGAATTTAACATATTGGAAAAAATAATACAACACAAAATGTTGCTTGTACAAAAGTTTTGGCACATTTTATATTTAATTTTTTTTTCCCCCCAATATGTTAAACTAAAATAAATAGATGAAAATTGTCATATTTAAGTGTCTAATGCATTATATTATTTTTACTTACAAGATCAACATAACCAGGGCACCCAAAGTTTTGCACAAATTGTTTTGAAACATCAAACATGTTAATTTACCCAAATTCTAGACACCTTTACATCTGTCTTATTGACATAAAGCAACCTTATCGTGTGTAATTATCTTAATGTAGCAGAGCGTTTTTAGTCTATTTCTTGAAACAAGCAAAACTATCTGTTAGTGCAGTGAAACATTTACAGAAATATCTAAACAAATGGCTGGAACAGTTACTAATTATACTAAGAAATATTACATAATTTACAAACATTTAAGATGCTTTTCTCTGGAGGATATTTTGCGTTCTACATCCTAAATCTAAAATCCAGAAAAACGTCAACAATACTCACTAGAGATGGTGAGGTGAGGACGGAGATGTGGAAGCCATACTGAAAAGTTCCCCCAATTCCTGTGATTAAAATGACTGCAACAAGCACAGGGCTCTCCAGCTGGAGACAGAAACAAAGAACTCTTCAGATCACTGATTGAATAGTGCCATATTAGGCTAATGGTGCTGAAACATACCAGTAATGTTAAGGCATGCGCCATGACTCCTCTCAGCTGTCTTGTAGGCTCGTTTTCCTCACAAACAGCCAGATAATTATGACACAGCAAGCCTCTGAATATTTAACCGGCTACGTTGAAATATAACTTCTCCAGAAACGGTTGAACTTTGGGTGAGAAAATAGGTAACTTAAAGTTTGCATGATTGCATCCCATTGCATCATTACAAAGAAAATACATGAACTACCATTCAAAAGGTAAAAATCACTGTTTTCAATAATATAAAACCAGACAAATTTATAAAATGTATAAAATAATTCTAATATGCTCATTCAATGAGTAGAAACCCAGAAAGTTAAGAAAGAAGTTAAAAAAGTATAGACAAAGAAATTTAAGAAAGAAAGAAAGAAAGAGAAAGAAAGAAAGAAGTTAATAAAGATAGAAAGACGTTAATAAAGACAAAGAAAGTTAAGAAAGAAGATAGACAGACAGGAAAGAAAGAAGTTAATAAAATAAAGACAAAGTTAAGAAAGTTAAGCAAGAAAGAAGTTAATAAAGACAAAGAAAGTTAAGAAAGATATGAAAGAAAAAAAAATACACAGATCAGAAGAAAGGAAGACAGAAACAAAGAAACAAAGAAACAAAGAAAATGTTGTGTTTCCAGAATGATGATCAGAGCTGGAGAAGATTCTAAAATATTCTAATATTTTGATATATAAAATTTGTACTTAGAAAATTAACCAAACATGATCAGGGCCACCCAAACTTCTGCATACGAATGTATGTTGCAATGAGCTCACATTATACTCTTCTTTTACTTTCTTTTCCGTTGATGTAACACTCAGCATATTAAGTACACAGCAAATATTTTTGCAATGTACTAAATGAACTGCATGTGAAAGCATATTAATTTCATGCAAAAACTTCACCTTCACTTTCAAAATGACCTTCATAAACAACAGTGAACAGATCAATTTCTTTATTGTCAGAGACAAAATAATTACCTTATAGAAACATAAAACATATTTACAAACCTGGAAATCACAAGTAAAATATTTAATTCACAAAACATCCCGAGACATCTCAGATCTACAGTGATTTAGAACACAGCATCCAAAGCTCCCAGCTATAAACATGGACAACAGAGAATATAAATTCTATAAATTCGTTTTTTTGTTGTTTTCTATTTATGCTTTACACACAAGTTAACAACTCTGCCTTAAATGCTGTGTTAACATTTAATGACAAATGGACCAAAAAAAAAGTTCCATCAACTTCCATTGAAAGCTAAGGTTTGTTTCCTTCTCCTGTAAAGCTGCCACTTTGGAGATACAAATGAGACAATATGCTGCAACCCCCCTAGATCTAATAATTAATGTTACGTTTATTTTACAGCACTGTTCAAATGTCTTATGCCAACTTATAAAACTGCTTTTCACTATTTATTTGGACAGAAAGTAGGAGGAATGTGTACATTCAGTTTTTACCATATTATCATTGCTGTACAATAAAAAGACAGCGAAATGTCTTGTTTTTTTCTAAGTCAGTAAGCGCTTTAAATATGAAGATTTTTGCACAGTACTGTAAACCTGGAGCAGTGGCTACATGAACAAAGCATTCAGTGAATTTTGGTCTTCAGTTTCACTTACACATTAATTTACCTTCCGTGAGCTGCACGCAATAACTTCAGAGAAATAATTCAGCTGAAAGGGAAAAAAATCCACTTAAAAAGATTAATATTATAAGATGTTTTATGCAAGCAGCCAAATGTCAGTCAAGTTTGCTTTAGGATTTTTTTCTACTCTCCACTTTATTTTTATGTTTTTTTTTATATTTTATTTATTTTTGTTTCTATTTATTTTCTTATATTTTTATTTTAGTATTTTGTGATGGATGTGTATGCTTTCCTATGTGAAAACTTTTGGCCAATAATCACCTAAGATGTCATGGCAATACTAGGAACTCTGGATCTAAGCCTTTTATTACATTTATTTACTAGAAAAAATAATGCAGCTTAAAAAAAAAGATAAAAAAATACACTGTGGCAAAAACAATGTATCAAATTAGATACATTTTGCAACTGACACGTCATATTAAAGTAATTCTACTGTTAAATTTGGACATTTTCAACTATTATACACCAACACCAGCTACTCAAACTGCCCAAAACTGCCAAAGCCTCTAAGCTACCACACTAAATAAAACCGACTGGTTTGTGTTGGGTAGTCTGTTGAGGGCAGTCTTATGACATCAGTTCAGTGCGTAGCCGTGTTAGCTTGCATGTGGCAACAAATGCATGCTGATTCCTTAACAGCTTCGTAATTCAGAAAATCCAGCTACATTCGGGTGAAGAACATTCAAAGAACAAAACATACCAAATTTGGAATATTTTGTTCATCACAGGGCATGACAGCGGCGATTTACAAGAACGGCATTCATTTTTCCCATAGAGAAGAACAGCTTAGACCCAGAGTTCCTTATATGGGCCCAACCTCATAGGTCTATAGATCACCGCTTGCTCTGTAGTGCCCCACTGTGCCTGGGAGGACCTCACAGCAGAACGTAGCGTGTCAGGCCACCTCCTCTGAGCTCCTTCAGCCGCTGGCAGTGTCTCAGCATGTTCAACATGCCAACGAAGCGCTTATCCACCTTCAGCTGGGCCAGATCTCGCAGGTCCTCCTCCACCACGAAAAACTGACCTGGGAGAGAGGGGAGGAGAAACAGAGACGGAGAGAAGAGGAGAATGAAAAAGTGAAATGGAAAGAGCAAGCAACCAAAAAAGGAGAAGGGGGCGTGTGGAGGAAAGGGGGGATATGAAAGACAGAGAGCAGAGGTTGAGAAAAAACAGAAAAAGCAAGACAGAGAAATACAAAGACAGAGAGAAAAGTAGAGAGAGAAGAAGAAAATGAAAGAGAGGGGTAGGTGAAGAGAGAAGTTAAGAGAGAGAGGATTGAACAGACAGGCAGAGAGAGGCAGGCAGTGAGAGAAAGAGGAGAGAGGAAAAGGAGAGAGTGTAAAGTGAAGAAAGAGGCAGAGATAGAGAGAAAAAGAGGACGAGAGGTGGAGAGAGAGAGAGAAACACAGCATGATGGATCACCTCTTACTAGTGCTAACAGCTTGTTAAGACACTGGGAGACAGGATAAATGACCTTTGTTATGAGAGCAATTACATCCATTCATGCGGCTACAGCTTTTTGGAGTGAATGTCCAAGCTCTCCTTTACAGAAGGAATTAAAAAAACGTGCAGACCTACATAATTAAGGTCAAAGAGGCCTTCACGGCCTCATCAAATCTAGTGTGATAGAAAAGAATGATTATCATTTTGAACTCATCTTCATCAATGTATAAAAATAACTGACAATTGTGAAAGGAGCTAAAAGTATTATATATACTGGAAAACGTATTTTTCTTTTAGAATTAAAATCGTATTATAAAATGGATGGTTCCAGTCCCAAAATCTGACTGGCTGAGCTGCGTTTGAAACCGTTGTAAGATCCACGATATACGTACACCTTTGACTGCCTCACAACAACTGAATTGTGTATTACTGCGCTATGGCACGAAAAAAAGCCCTTGTGCCGTTAATGGAATCATTTCATCCCTGATGCTGCTCGCATGGAGCGCCGTTTTTTTTTTTGTTTAAACTGAGTGGCTGACACCTTATGTTCTTAACTAGAATTAGGCTGGTCAGCTAGCTAACAGGCTAAAAGATAGCAAACAGCCTAAACAACTCCATCATTAATATCACAGGTTTAGATTTAAGTACTTACGATATGATTAACTGTAAAACGGCAGTATAAAAGTCTAAAAACTTCACTTTAATGGATTACACACTTCAAATATTTGGGTTTCAGTTCGAAGTTTCAGGCTGAATCCCAAACGGCTCCGTACTCCCTAAATAGTGTGCTAGCTATGAAAGCCTTTACAGCCAAATAGTGCATCATTTATCGAGTATGGATGTGGCTGAATGTGGAGCCATTTGAGATTCAGCCACAACGCAAGAAGAGGGGCGTCACTTGTTTGGTGCTAAATATGACTCGCGGTAGTGATTTGGTGACTAAAAAGTATTTATAAAGTGAAGGTTTTTGCATTAAACAGTGCTGTGTTATCATATGTTCATTGTTATACGACAAAAAGTTTTAAAATTAATGGAATGGCCCAAGAACGTTCTCCTCACTCAGCAGTCCATGGTTGCTTGGCAAAGACACCATATCCTACTAGAACTACATTTCGTGGCGGAAAACTTGTTTATGCCAATTATTACTAATAATAACATTTTTATTTTCTGAAAAATTGTCTTTATTATATTTTATGTTGGCCGCTGTTTTATAAAAGCAATAAGCCACTTGAGGCTGTGCGTTACTGCGATTTTATCACAGGGAAGGGAGTTAAAACTCTCCCTGTTTCTCCTGGCTTATTGGTTTCATATAGCACTGACATTTCTTGCCCACTCCCAACAATATATATGTTGAGGAAAAAATAAACAAATCTTCAAAAGGGCTCTATAATGCGTTTGTATGATGTGTATATGGTTATGAGAATAGCTGGAGTTAAACCTTTAATTCACTATATTATTATTCACCTTTAGTGTCTTTGGTTTCCTGGTCTTTAAATCGCTGGTGGAGTTTCCGTGAGGCGTTGGTCAAGCTCTTAACCGGCTGGTGGAGGATTTTATATTTCCCAGTCACAGCAACGTTGATGCTTTTCACGGCAGCATTCAGCTGGTCATACGTAACTCGTCCTTTCATGTACCTGAGTGGACAGTGTTACAGTGCTTCAGATATGAGACCAAACTAAAATCTAATTAAGCACCCAAAATGATTGAAAGACAGTACAGTGCAGTTTGCATATTTAGGGCAGCTAAGTTGAAATAAACGTACTTCTCAAGAGGAACGGTTTGTATTTGTTCACAGAAGGTATTTTTAGACAATCTAACTGGTTTAGAAAGAACTGCAAGGACTGACGAGAGTGAGTTTCAGGAAAAAAAAATAATCACAAGAAGCATCACTTTGAACAACTGTGTCTGAAGTTTGATTTTTTCATTTTGCACTGGAACAGCAAAGCTAATTTGGCTGACGAGTAATGGATGCGTATATCACACCAATTAACACTGTGCAAACTACAGGCCTAATCCTTGCCTGAAACTGGGGGGTGGGACAATGTGATGATATTTATTACTTGACAATGATAAATTGCATCACGTTACCTGTACAACAACACAGGGTAAAAAGGGGAATTTAACCAATTTTTTAAAAATTCTGCATAATTCAGTGGTTGGGATGCAAAGTCATTCAAAGTGGTTTCAAAATTTGATGTGAAAGGGTTTATTGTGAAAAAACTTAACCATTCCTCTCACCACCACTGCGAACAAAACTCTAAAACAGAGCATTTCACACCAAACCACTCTGAATGACATAGTTTACATCTTAATGAGTGGGAATTACAGGGCAATCCACGATTCAATATCACGATACTGCAATTCTGTAATACTCGATATATTGCAAGACAATCCTCTATAATACATCACAATATCTGTCTAAGTGAACAAAATAAAATACTCCTAAATAGGCAGACAGCAGGAGTATGTATTTATTAGTGTCAGTTTCACAGAATTTGACAACCAATATGAAACAGTGTGCAACAAAGCACATAGCTTAGTTTCATGCCTCTTTAACACACATACACTGCCTGCATGTCATCATTCCAATGTAAAATAGACATAGACAGCCAAAACAAAATGTTTAAAGGCAGGACACAACTGTGCCTCACTAAAATCTTTTCTGTGTAAACTAACAAAAATAAAATTATACAAAAAAATACATATTAATGCAAAAATACACATTTCTCTCTAATAGTACTGGTAGCTCTCGGGGATGTAAAAGGAAGCTTTGCTTTAAATACTGTATTAATTGTAGTCTGACTCCAAGTTGTGGCAATGTTAGCTGTTTTCTTAACAATCAGATCAGGTTGATGGAAAACATGCTGCCCGTGTGCTTTATTTTAAAGAGACAGTTTCTGCACATCGCAAAGTCCGTGTCTATTTAATTTTTCCCTTCAATGCTGTAAAAGCCAAAGTGGGTCCAGACCTTGGACATGAAAGAGGACGGTGCCTGTCTGATTTGTTGAAGTAGTGAATCTGGTAAATCAGTTTGGGAGGGAGAGTGTTTACAGCCCATGCATGTTTCAATACATAAATCAATATTTGTTGCCAGTGTATCGAGAACGTATAGCAAAAGAAAGCGATACAATATATTGCTGTATCGATATTTTATCCCACCCCTGTTTCTGACACTGTATGACACACTGTTAACTAGAAACATGGACAAAAGCACCAATTACTGTAGCAGGAGCTATCCCGAAACCTGAATTTTGTCCACTCTGTTGTCCATGTTTATAGACAACAGCATATCATACAGTGTCAGAAAACACATAAGTAAGCCTGTTGTGGAGTTGGGCTCTGTGGGCCGCTTTGGAAGACTTGTGCTGTGTTCCTATTGGTTTAGCCAGCGCAGGTGGTACTCACTGTGGGATGTTGTCGAACTCTTGCACAGTGATGAACTCCATCTCTTTGATCATGGCCCGTGAAGGCTTCCTGGGCGGTTCCTGCTCCTGGGGGGCTGCCTGCACATCTGCAGGCCTGCTGGATGCCGCCAGCTGTTCTGACCTGACAGGACAGAGAGGAGAAACTTGTCTCACGAGCTTGAGCAGCTTCACACACACACACACACACACGCACACACACACACACACACACACACACACAGAGGGAGAACATACAGCCTTCTAAATCTGTACGATACAGTCAAAATAGAAGCAATGTGATCAAATCTGCTGATAGTGCAGCAGCAACAAAAGTTTAAATAAATTAAAGGGTCTATATAAAGTAAAACTGTATTCTCCCCATAAGAGTTTATAGTAGTTTGTAAATACTGTAAAAGTTTTGAAATTTGTTTACAGTCCATATATCAACTTCAATCTGCAAAACAGCTTTTGTGTTTTTGTGATGTCATATTTACATACACCCACCTATTCTGACAGTTCAGCCCCGCTCATTCACATTGAAGTTATAAGGTGTCCTGACTTCCCTGTATTGTGCCTCATTCAAAAAAAAGTCTGGGCTGAAACACTCCATGTAACTTCGTCCTGAGTGGATTGGGCTAAATTGCTGAAGGCTGAATTTTTGGATATATGCAAATCTGTTGGTTTTTATGACATCACACAAACAATTAATGTAAAACATGGACAGGATGGATTTGGAAAAGTGATGGATACAGTTTGAAACTAACAATGCTTAAATATTACATAAAACTGTTATATTTAACATAAAAAGCAAGGTATGGACCCTTTAAAAGCACAGTAACAAAAACAGCCTGTTTAACTCAAAGGCATAAAAAGAGATTGGAAAATGGTAATGTAAAAATGAATTATGACTGTTTTGGTAGACCTCAGGTTTAAAAAAAAAAAATCAATACTAAATGTACAATATAACCCTTTAATAACGCCGTAGTGAATCATGTGACATGGTTAAAAATTAGTCTGTATTACAATGTTTAGCATAGCAAAGGCTAACATCACGATAACTATAAGCAAAAGATCTACCATGCAGCAATACGACCTTTATTTGCAAGTGAGAATATCTCCTCAACACGCTCCGCACAACTGAATTTTAATTTCAATTTGTGGAACGGGGAGCAGGTTTCACACACCAGGTCGTTTCTTCATAAAGTCAGATAACACAGACGCATGACAAGGCAGGATTTACTGTGACGAGCAAAGCCTTTGATCACAGCGTATGGTGCATGCAAGTTTTATTCTTTCACTCTGTTCCACAAAGAAACTGTCCCAGATACAGACATCCCAGCTGAGAACACGACAGCTGCACAGAGGCACAGTCTGCAGCTTGGTGTTTTTCTCTGCTCTACCTCTCCTGATTCAGCTCATTATCAAACCCTTCACAAAGCGAGTGAAACAGTAAACTGCGTACTGATGTGACCTTCTATGAACAGGAGAGAAAACTGATGTATTCTTGAGGCTAAATGAAACCTAACTAAGAACTGAGCTTTAACCCTTAGAGGTCTAGAGTTTTCATTTTGCTAGACCTTCTTTATATATATATATATATATATATATATATATATATATATATATATATATATATAGTATATGGTAACACTTTCTTTGGAGTGGTCCTTTGTAAATGATTAATAAACTCTTAACAGAGTATCAGTAACACATCAACAACATAGCAGTGAAGTAGCAGCAGTGAAGCATCTGAATACACTGAAGTAAATATCTTGTAGATGTTCTGTTGATACATCACTTACATTAAGCAGATGTATTGTTAATACAGGGCTGTCCAATCTTATCCGCAATGGGTGGGTGTGGCTGCAGGTTTTCACTCCAAACAAGCTGAACCACACCTGATTCTACTTGTTTAATCAGTTGGCCTAAGCCATCAAACATTTCATCAGGTGGCCTCCTGCTTTGATGGAGTGAAAACCTGCAGCCACACCCACCCATTGCAGATAAGATTGGACACCCCTGTGTTAATATGTTACTTCCATTACACAAAACCTAGCCTTATCCAAACTTACCCAAAACCTAACCCTAACCCTGGACACAATTACTGGCTATAAAAAAATCGCCTGAAAATACCCATTTCTACAGTTACAACGAAGTAATTGGACAAAGTACGACTGGGCAAAGACCCAAGTTTATTTTGCCCCCAGACAGTAGGAGGACAGTATCAGAGGCAAAAAACCCACAAGGATCACTGTCGGAGAGTTACAAAAAGAACCTAGCATCTTGGGGTCACCAAGTGTCCTGAACTACGATCACAGGTGACCTCCATGCCAACAGGTTATTTGGAAGGCATGTCAGGAAAAAGCTTTTCCTGTTATCTAACCACAAACGTAAGTGCCTGGAATTTGCTAAATGCTACTGGGACTGGAACACTGCTCTATGGTCAGATGAAACCAAAATGTATTTTTTTGGCAACAAAACTCCAAGTAGGTTTGGCGTAAAAGCAGGATGACCACACTGAAGAGAACCTGATGGCCACTGTTAAGTATGGTGAATGTTTTCTGTGATGTTGTGAGGCCCTGGGAACCTCATTTGGGTACATGGCATCATAGACTCCATGAAATACCAGGACATTTTAAATCAGAATCTGTCTGCCTCTGCCAAGAAATTAAAAATGGGTCGTCATCAGATCTTCCAGCAGGACAATGATCCAAAACATCCAGATCAACACAAAAATGGTTCACTGAACACAAAATCAAGCTTTTGCCGTGGCCATCTGTGTCCCCTGATCTAAACTTTATAGAAAACCTGTGGAATGAGCTAAACAGGAGAGTGCACAAGAGAGGACCTAGGATCCTGGACAACCTGGAGAGATTCTGTAAAGAGGAATGGTCTCTGATTTCTTACTCTGTATTCGCCAAGATTTTACAGGAGAAGACTAAGTGACGTTTTATTAGCAAAGGCAGGTTCTACAAAGTACTGCATTACACACAGGGGTACCAATAACTGTGGCACATGTGATTTTGTTTTGTTAAAAAATTATTTCTTGATGAGGGATTTTTTTTAAGGTTGCATTTTTCTCATTTTTTCAGTGTATGTTTAAGCTAATTCATCAAAAGGTAAATCTTATAACCTTATTTTACTCATATATAAGTTGGATTGGGAAACCATGTCACAAAGGTTGCAGGGCTTAAAAAGACATTTAAAATATTAGGCACAGCTCCGGAAATTGGTATGTACATTTACACAGTTGACCTAAGATTAAATAAAACTTTTCCCTTCCGATTTCTCTGATTTTTCTTTTTTATCCTGTTTCATAGTCGCTCTGCATAAGAAAAACAGCTTGTCACAAAATCCATTTCAAAATCAACATTTGAGAAACCATTTTTAATATAAAACAATATTTTTAAGAGGTTTAACTTAGGAATTTGTATAAAATAGATTCATGTTTACTTTTTATATCATTAATGTTATACTACATTTAAAAATATGTATTTTATTTAAAAAGTCATTTGTCACAGAGATTTTGGTTACTGGTGTTATCAGGACTCTTATGTTACATTTTAACACAGTATCTTCAGCTCTATTAAACTGCTTCTTTGGATCAAGGCTCATCAGAGAGGAAGCATTTCAAGGCATGAGAAGGTGAGACCACACTTGCTCACCTATATTTTGTGATTTTATTAATAATTTTGTTTATCAGGCAGCACATCACTTATGTGTGTCACCGGTGTTATGTGCTTTAATGGCTGGGAAACTAAAGTTTTGTCACAATATTGCCAAACATCATTTTTATTGCTGATTTTAAATAGCTGCACAAGATCACCTGACCGCCAATTTACGAAATCCTCAACTTTAACCAGAATGTCACTGGTGTTACACCATATTCATATAACACCAGTGACTGTAAAATATGTTTGGAATTAAGCCCTCCTTTTTGATATCCAGAGGTCCTGGATATCATGACGAAACCCTACAGGGACATTGCTCTTCTATAGGAAGACGTACCCAGTGAAATACAGACATATTGCTATGTATTATATACATATTGCTAAATATATCACTGAAACTGAAAAGCAATATCATGATATGTCAATATCACAGTATACTGGTTTAAACCATATATTATACAAAACTAGAATACACCACTGGGGATCTAAGAGAGTTGTGTGGGTGCAAGGGTGCAATCTTACAGAGCTGCTGGCTGTTCCCTGCGGGGCATGTGGGGTGGGATGTTCTCTTTTAGATGCTGCGCATTCTGCACATCCTCCTGGAAGAACTCATCCAGTTCCTGCAATGAAGAGACACAGCTCTGAGTTACTGAAATTGGGATGTAAAAATGGACAGTTTTAAAGGTAGTGATTCAGCTGTATTGGTTTTGGAAGGTTACTTAAATCATTAACAAAGTTTCTGATGACATTCAGCTGATTATCAGCAACATTATGGTTAGGGTTAGCTTTAGTGTTAGGGATATATTTGATAGAATGTTCCACACTCATTTAACAGATATTTAGCTAAATGTTACTTAAATATATACTGAGCATCTACCCAGAGTGGGCCATCCAAATAAAGTGTTACCATATTTTCCACCACTGCGTGCGTACATCCTCCACAGACATTTATATGCCCAGCAATATTTTTAAATTAATTGTGCATAATTCCAAAATAACTGAGTCAAATATATTATTTCATGAAATTTCACATGATATTTAATGACGCACTAAACAATTTCCTAAAGCAGAACTGCTGCACAATTTTTTTGCAAAATTTTTTACATTTTTTCAAAATTACAATAGAGTGCTGTTAAAGGATAGAAGTGTAGTGGAACTAAGAAGGTCTTAAACTTAGCAGAAAAGTTTTCAGTCTGGATTTAAAAGTGTCCAGTGCCGGGGCTCTTTTAATGCTCTTTGTTAACTGGTTCCATTTAAGAGCAGCATAGTAGCCAAACGCTGCCTCTCCATCTTTAGTCTTCACCTTCAGCATGACTAACTGACAAGTTCCTAATGATCTGAGAGTTCAACTTGGCTCATATCGCTGTAGCAGATCAGATAAATATGCTGCTCCTGCACTATTAAGACATTTATAGAGCAGTAACAGCACCTTAAAGTCTATTCTGGAACAGACTGCTAACCAGTGTAAGGATTTAAGGATGGGGGTGATATGTTCCCTTCTTTTACTCCTAGTGAAACTCTGGCAGCTGCATTCTGAATCATCTGAAACTGTCTGATTGTCTTTTTTGAGAGTCCAGTTAGGAGACCATTACAGTAGTGCCAAAAATAAAGGCGTGGATGAGATTTTCCAGGTCTGCTGTAGTCAGATAATCTCTGATCTTGTTGATGTTCTTAGGGTGAGACACAACTGCTAAAACTGAGATCAGAGTCCTTTAGTACACCATTTTGATATCTTTGCAAAACCTTAACAAAGGGGAAAAAGTACAACTGGCAAATATAGGATGTATTCGTGTCTATTTTATTTCAACAGATTGGTTGAATATAAAACATGAACACATGCTTTGATTTAGTATGCTCAGCTTCGTCAACTCTGACATCCTACAGTCTCCCATGATAAATGTTTGTATTTTGTAGACTATTTTAAATTTGTTTAATATTCACAATGGCGGCTTTCAACCCAGTCTTTAGGTATTAAATTCAGACATCAAAACTCATGAGCAGCAAAAAAAGGTGACAAGTTCAGGAACCAAACTCTGCAGTGTAGTCTGTCAGCAACAAATATGCAAATACAAGTCATGTCTAAAGATGTAGTCATGTCTAAAGATTTCTAGGTCTTTTGACTTTTTTGTGTCGCTTAACAACCACCGACTGCCTCAGTTGACTTTGTACAGTAGAATACTGTATACAGCTGTGGTCCTCTATGCTGGTCCTAGAGTACCACCACCCAGGTTCCTGAGGTGAACTGAGTCTTGCAAGGCAGAGATACTCCAGGACCAGGACTGTGAAGCACTGGCAACATAGGAGGTATAGTGTCAAACCTTCAGATGCTTTAGCAGGTCTCTCTGCTGAGCTACATATCTCTCAAACCGATCTAGGAGGCCATTAATGGCGTTGACGTCCTGCTCAATTTTGACTAGAAATGCCCGCTTGTCTGGATCTTTTGCTGGGAAAATAAGAAAAGGCATTAGTAACCATGTAGTAATGTAAAATCTGTGAAATCTATCAAGGAAAACAGCCCAATCATACTGTCAAAACAAATCATAAATCATTTTTTATGTAAGTTAATGTAACAGGACAACCTTAATATAATCTGTTAGTAATTCTGAGCCATTTCTATTGATTAATTCATTATGAAACAACAACATATAGAACCATTAACAACTGTGAACCTTCTCATGAAAGGGGTCGCCTCAATTTGTTTTTATAATTTAGTATTTTAGAATAATAGTGAAGACGTGACAAAACTATGAAATAACAGTTACGGAGTTATACGTTGGTCAAAAACAATGTTCAACAAATCTTCTATTTTAGATTCTTTTAGAAATGTGTCCCCCTTTGTTCTGACACAGCTTTATACACTCCTTACTATTATCACAGCAGCTTCATGAGGAGCCGCCAGAGATTTTACAACAAGAATGAAGAAGACACACATATACTAAGACCTTGCTGTTGGTTTTTCCTTCTTCTTTTCAATGTTATATTTTTTAATTATTTTTTTGGTTTCATACATAGGCATCAACTTCATACATGGGGAAAACCCTCTTCTGAGGATGTATCTTGATGTATCTTGAATTTCTGAAAAAACATCTACTTTGGGGTGGAGTTTTGAGGGTGGGCGGTGCTTCGTAGCAGTAAGTTATCTGCTGCCTTCTGCCTTCACCAGATAGCAGAGAAAACAATAAACAACATCAGCATGCAAGCATGAACTTCACCCCAAAGCAGGAGCAGTTTTTCAAAGGTTCCTCCCACCCTCTAGAAACACCCTATCAAAGTTAAGGTGGGCGATACGGCAATATGCAACATCATACTTCAGGAATTTTTTTTTTACAATACACGATGTGTCACAATATTTATTTTTTCTGACATCTGATACGTTAGAACAGACAAACTAATGCCACATTTTAAAAATACGATCAAAAACTATGAATGCAATTACTTGTACTCAACATTTACACACTGTGCTACACTAAATTCAATTAACCAGGACTAATTATGATCTGTTTTTAATCAAACATGCAGTTGGAAAGTGATTTTTCAGTATGTACAATATCCACAATATGCTCAGAAAAGCATATTGCGACATATTCATGTAATTTATCACAATAACGATAAATATTGTCATATTGTCCAGGCCTAGTCATATGGATTGTGTACATGTGCTCACTCAGCATTTCTTTTGAAATGAAGAGTACTGATAGTGAGTTTGTCACTCCATCACACTGTGAGGATCTGATTAAGCATTAGTGAGGTCAGCTATTGATGTTGGATGAACAGTTCTGAATCAATCCAGTTCATTCCAAAGGTACTGTATGGAGCTCCATCACTCCAGAGAACACAGTTCAACTGCTCCACAGCCCAATGCTGGGGGGCTTTATACCCATCTAGCCCACGCTTGGCACTAGGCAAGGTGACCTCATGTGCAGCTGCTCCAGAGCACTCCACTCTACTAGTCAATGCTTTTCTATTGGGGATTATACAACTGAACAACTGTCAGCAATGGGTGCATATTAAGGGAGCTGAATTCACTTATTAGAAGGGCTGTCCACACATTTTTGTACATATAGTGTACATCACTAGGTGGAGTTTTTACTGGTCTAGCCAGAGTGTCCTTTTAAATAAACAAAATAAATAAAGTACAGTGTACTTTGTGAAATTTGTGATGTCATACCGACTGCACGCAGCTCTAAAAGCCTCTTGACGAATGAAATCTTGTCATCGATGTGCTTCGTCACCTCTTCCAGCTCACAGTGACTCATACTCCTGAAAAGCAGGTTTAAAATTCAGGTAATAACATACAAATAATAGCCTTTACAAATCTTAAATGGCACACAATGTGAAAAGCTTATTTAACTACTAATACCCATACCCAGCCTCTAGCACTGTTTACAGCTCACTCAGACACAGAATCGACAAAGACATGAGAACAAGCTCCCTCACAGAAACGTATTACATAAAACGGTTATGAATACACTGCTTGATGTCTGAGACACTGTTTTACAGTAGTTTTGAGAAGGTTCTGGCCTGAATTGAAAGTTTTTTTTAAATATTCATGGTGGATGTTGTGAGGGGAAAAAGCTCCATATAAACATATTAATTTAGATTTTCCATTACTTCACAATCATCAACATTCCATATAAAAACTCAGGAGACACATGTAGGTTCACTGGTGGTTTTAGATGGTAAATAAAATGGCTATATTTGTGTTGTAGTCATGGTGATGCCTGGTTACTATCACCACCACTGTAAAGAATTCAGAGTCTCTACCATTTCACACCAAACAACTCAATGACGATTTTTGAAAAGGCAGTGGAATTTCTCTTTAAGTAAAATAATACACAGATTAAAATAATAAGCAGATTACTCAACAAATGACTAAACTGTACGCTGGTTTATACTTGAATGACGGTGACCAGATGCAAATGCAGTCATCACAACTTGCAATCTGTGATAGATAAGTAATATAATATCTGCGAGCAAGTCTTCCATTTGTTACTTTATAACGCAGGTTTACAGAGTGCTGTACAAAAAGGCCAAGAAGGAGCTTTTCCAGAGTGCAAACATCCTACAATGACAGATCCTTTGCACACTTTCTCTAACAGAGAAGAAAACTTTAAACACTGTGTAAGACCAGAGGGAGGAAACAAATGAGTTCGAAGCTAGTTCTGAGTTGGTTTGAGGACAATTTTTTATTAATGAATGACAGTGCTAGGGGACGAGTGCTGGAACAGGACAGAAAATATTTCAATAAAACATCACTGCCAGCATCACTGAGGCCTCAACCAGCTGCCCAACACTAGACTGAGTGTGTTCAGGGAGAATGGACGTCTAAAACATGAAATACTAAATATGTGGGGTTATTACAGACATGCATTTCGTGAAAATTAGTTTCTCAGTAAACATTCTCTAGTCAAACTAGCATCTAGCATTAGGCCTTATCTTATTACACTATGGGCTGGTTTCCCAGACAAGGATTTATGCCTAGGCTTCGACTAACTTGCAGTGCCCATTAGGGCTGGGCAACATGACAATACGTCTCAATATTGCGATAAATTATGTGACAAAACAATATATTATGCTTTTCTGAACATATCGTGTATATTGTCAGTACTTGCACTGACCAACTGCATGTTTCATTATGACGGCAAAATTATTCCTGTTTAATCGGATTTAGAGCAATACAGTAGGCAAAATATTAAATAACCACAGCATTCATAGTTTTTGATCATATTTTTTAAAACAGGGCACTAGTGGTTCTTTTTTCTCAGTTCCAACTGATGTCTGAAAATATAAATATCATGTATCAGGAAAATTTCTTGAAGTACCACGATATTATATTTTGGCCATGTTGCCCACCTCTGGAATCACCATTGGAAAGTCTTTTCAGTCTAGGCTTAAGCTTAATCTGGGTCCAGGAAAGTGGCGCTCATGTCCAAACGTTTGTAGGCACCTGCTCATCCTGTGTTTTTCCTGAAATCTTGGGTATTAATAGTGAGTGTGTACTCTTTTGCTGCAGTAACAGGCACTACTCTTCTGTGAAGGCTTTACACTTGATATTGGAACATTGCTGTGAGGATCTGATTGCTTTTAGTCACAGGAACATTAGTGAGGTCAGAAACAGATGTTGCATGATCAGCTCTGGATCACTCCAACTCATCCCAAAGGTGTTAGATGGAGCTCCACCACCGGCCAACGCTGGGGGGCTCTAATGCCCTCTAGCTGTCCCATTCCAACCTTTTTTGAAAAGGTTCTATATAGAACCATATACAAAATATGCTCCATCAGTCTGATCAACGCTAACCATTTTACCATGCAAAGAACCATTTAAGCATGCAATAGTTCTATTTATAAATCATGGTTCTAAACGGAACCACTCCCTTTACTAAAACCCTAAATGAACCATCCTTTTTAAGAGTGTAGGGGGCAAGTGGGCATGTTTACAAAAGATGTAGCAATGGCTCCATTTTCAGTTTGACCGGAGTGCCCATTTAAGTTTTTGCAGGCGTCAAAATGTTATGTAATAAACCAGGACTAATAAATAGTAGGGTTTTTTTTTTATAAAAACTAGTTAATAAAATCAGGACTCTTTAAAACGGAGCTCAAGCCACGGTCCCATCAACTGGAGAACACAGGTTTGGACACAGGCTTCTTAATCGCCAGCTACTTGTTCAAATTTTCCCGTTCCACCTTAAACTGTGGAGCAGTTTTATTTTATTAAAACATATTATTTTAACGCCTCAGGCGCCAGAACGTAACTGCTGCACCATTTAAGGTGGAACGGTAAAATTCGAACACGAAGCCGACTTCAGCCTCGCGAAATGCGGATGCTTTGGCATTATGAAAACATTATTATGGAATGTGAATATCTTAAATGGCTTTACTTCAAAGGCCAAATCTGTGCCGTATAGAGACCAAACCTCTCAGAAAAGGAAGCTAACGGAGTTAGCCAAGTTAAGCTAAGTTAGCAATCGCCAACTGTAAACACTTCACTTCAGAAACTCGAGGCAGGGTTAGTTGGTTAAACACACAGCATTTCTTAAACTCTCACAATGACTAAGAACACTTACGTGATTAACGATGGCTGCTTGTCAGTGTGTGAAATATTGAGCAAAGAATGTTTATTTTACATTTATTTTTATTTTATAAACCAGAGTCCAGCTCTTCTGTGCCGCGCCGGTGTTTGAACGATTGGCGGCCTGTGATTGGCTGTACGCGTTTGCGTCACGGTGAGTTTTCCCTATACGTGAGACCTTGTAGCTTTACCAGTGCCGGTTTACAAGTTCTCTAGCTTTACCTTGGACTTTATTTACCTCTATCTACCATAATATCTAGATTATCTTCTTTACTTTCTTTTGTGATGTTTCTCGGTGTTGGTTTATTTTATTGTTTCTGTTTACTGTTTTCATTTGTTTGCCCTGGCTTTATTTTATTCGGAGTTATATGATACATGCTTTAATCTGAACCTGTAACAGGGTAGCGTGATGGCTGATGTCTCTGTTGTTGATGTATGTGCAAATATTTAATTTAGAAAAAAAATGTCAAGAACAGAAACTACTTTTAAAAAAAGATCAACCACAGATTTAAAATTTTTGAGATTTTGATATTGAAATAACAGAACACATTTTCTTTAGCTGTATACACTCTCGCACCTACTGGACTTCAAAGAATGTTGACTTAGTAACTTTAGACTTTTATATGATCACATTTTGGTATTAGTGCAACTGAATGTAGAGATGTATTTTTGGTTAATAATGTGATTATTGTAGAAAAATACGTTTTACACAAAAAAACAGCAGTAAGCTTATTTTATTTATTTATTGTATTTTTTATTAAATATGACCTATTCACTTTTTAAAAATATGGTTCTTTAAGGGTTCTTTAGAAAACCATTTCCACAAGTACAGCGTTCTTTGCATCATGAAAGGGTTCTTTAGATTGATGGAGAATGTGCTGTATATGGTTCTATATAGAACCTTTTTGAAAAGGGTTCTTCTATTGTTCAGATGTCAAGCTTGTAACAATAAAAGAACCCTTTAGTGTTATATAGAACCATCTATAGCACATTTATGCAATTTTTTAGATGTTGCATTTGCTGCAATTGAAGATAACATATTGGAAAAAATAAATTATAAAATATAATATAAAATGCGCCACAATTTTTGCACAGGTCACATTTTGTTATATTTTTTCACCATATGTTAAATTCAGCCAATAAACTGTGTACTAAAATGAGCAGAAGTATGTTCTCTGTAGAGGATGTGTTCACTTATTTACACTCAGAAAATCAACAGGTCATTTGATCTAGGGCACCCAAACTTTTGCACATGACTATGTACAAAAAAGCTACATACCATTGTTTTACTTTTTTATTTAAAACTTTGGCAAATTTTGCCCACGTCACAAATAAAAACAATACAAGATTTATGTGAACAGAAACAGTACTCAAGTACATTCAAAATGTAAACAAACATCTGGCTGCACCTTCAACAGAACGTTCCGGAGAAGTTTTCAGAGAAAAAAAAACGGATATGTGAACCTTTATTTATCATCACACCGTTTAATAGAGTCAGTCAGGGTCAGATGGCTACAGTATTTCAGTCAAAATGTAACAAACTAATCTCAAGAACATAATAAAGGTTGGTCCCAGTGCTGGTCAGCTTCTCAGAGGCCTAGAGAGGCCTTCAGGAGGGAGGCCATATCATCAGGAATGGTGTCTACATCTCCTGAAAGAGTGCAGATTATTACTCAAAAGATGAAGGACACTATTTTAGAAGCACAGTCACATCTACAGTACTGACACAACACATTATACAGAGCTGTATTTATGATCAAATGGCATGCTCTGTTTATTTTTTTTTTATAGTTTTAGCCCTTTATTATGCGAGAACCACTGAAATAACAATATCTACTTTCATTTAGAAAGGCTGTAGTCGTTTCTGGACATCACTTAGCTTTTAGATTTTCATCAAACTGATTTTAAAATACTTCACTGACAAGAAAAATGGTTTACATAAAGTTTCCCTCAGTAACAGCCAAAAAAACAGACAATTTATCCACTAAAGTTTCATCAACACTGACGAACTATTTGAAGCGCTACAACATTATTTGTACAAATTATTTTTCAATGGAAATGTCGCTAATGACTGTTTATTACTTTATAAAACAGACCGTTCTGATTCTAAAATTTGATAGGCTGAGCCACATTCAAAACTGCTGTAAAATATGCAATACACACATATAACTGCGCATATCAACTGAATTCTATATTAATGCACCATGTTATTAAAACACTGACCGTTAATGGTATAATCTTTAACCATTAACGGTCGTCCAGCATGTGTCTCAGAACCTTACTTTTTAATAAGTACATGTGAAGTTCGTTTTTCTGAGTCTGACATCATTTTAAAGTAATAAAAAACAAAAACAAAAGCACTGCTCACAGCTGCTCATCTCACTCTGACTGGACTCTACCTGAATGTCTATACTAAGTAGTTCTCTATGCATGCGTTTAATTTGGATCGAATTACTTGTAGTGTGCATGTTAACAGAGCTTTTCCATCAGATTGTTGAGTAGAGTGAGCATATAAACACCTCAGTCTTAATATATAATCTGAATGTGTTCAATCGGATTGGCAGAAGTCTTTGCATGTAAACACAGCCAGTCTTATGATGTCAGTGCACAGCAGTGTTAGCCTGCATGTAGTGCAGTTTTTTGTATTTTGATTCCTTAACCACCTCATTATTCAGAGGATCCAGTGACATCTTAGGGGAAAGTGCACACAGCACAAAATGCACCTTGGACTTTGAAACATTTTGAAATAGTGGTGATTTTTGGACAACCCTATTTGTTTTTCTCATAGATAAATCCAGCTTAGACCCACATTTCCTTATTCAGATATGATGCCCACTACAGGACGACGACACAGCCTCTACATGGTCTATTAAAAACAGAGAATTCTACAACCACCCTTAAAAATAAATGAGATCTCACAGGACTGGTTAATGATCATCACTGCAATGGCATTTGAATGTGTGCACCTAAAATGAGCTCACCCTCCTCAGTGGCAGTCATGTCCTGCTCTAGTTTGAGCTTCCTCTGGCCGATGCGGAGCATGGCGTCCTCTATGGTGTCCTTGCTTATCAGTCTGATCACTTTAACGGTCCTGAAGTAGGACAAAAACATTCAGATACAGAGGGCACAGACAAAAATACTGTCTATCCAACAGATTATTTAAAAGGTCACTGTTAGGAGATGTTAAAGGGACACTCTGGCCAAAACGCAAAATTTAACCGTCAACATGCTTATTTGCATTCCATAGCAGAGCAGCATTAGATTTTATGACTTAAAGACTACAAAAGCCCCCCTTCTGATGATCGTGAAGGTGGGAGAAACTTTTAAAAAATGTCTTTGGGGGGGTTTTGGTGGGGGGGTTTGTTTCGAAATGTCATTTTGATCATTAGCTACTGAATGTAGAAGGAAGTCAGACAGCTAATATTACTCCATTTAACTGTAGTTACTGTCTTCAAATCATAAGAGGTATTGTATATGCACTTAATTATAAATGAACCAAAGAAAATGGTCCAAAATTACTTGGAATAAAATCATATTAACATGTATTAAATGTTTAGTAACACTTTCTATGATGCCTGTATTCTTAAATAGTTAAGTGCTTGACTCTTTGTAATTTGGTGACAATGCTTTGTAAGCATACTTATAAGCTCTAATTATGCCTCATAAAGTTGTAATAATGTACAACTTTAATTCTTTGCTGACTTAAAACACATCGTAACACTTATATCTCCATACATACCGCCTTTTAAATGGAAAAAGACCTTTTTTTATTATATCTTTTATTTTTGCAGGATCTGCTGGGAAAACTTCCCACCATGGGAGGTTAATTAAGTGCTACTTATGTGGTCTGGTCATATTTGGACATTGCAGGACAAGCAAATGTTCAAAACTACTGTGTTCACTGTAACCTTTTTCCAAATTTTAAAATAAATTGCAATAACATGTCTGTGCTTTTGTAATTAGTTTGGAATGAACTTCAAAATAAAGTTTATAGTACCTTCATATTTATTTACAGCAATGAATAACATAAAATATCAGTCACTTTATTTGAAGCACTCAGTGAAGGCATTTTAAATATTTATAATGTTGTTATGACTGTTAATATGTATTATAGGTGGTTTATAATTATGCACAGGTCATTAGTCCATTATTCATTAGTGACACTTGTGTTTGTGCTTATGTTTAAGTCACCAAATAATTTATTACAATCCATTATTAAAGCCTTATGAAGTTTATTACAAACATTTATAAAACACTGTTTAAGGGGGGTTATAAGTGCATTTTTGATGTATAACGAGATATGCGGTTTTCTAATGACAGCAACACTATGCTAACTGGTCCTCAATAGCAGTCATTCAGTGTTAGCCACATTAGCATTTCCAACTTAAGTATTCCTGTAATTGTCCGATAACGAGCTTTCTGTCTGACCTGGTTTGGCCAACGCGGTGGCAGCGGTCCTCTGCCTGTTTGTCATTATAAGGGTTGCAATCTATATCATGAAGGATGACCACATTAGCAGAGGTCAGGTTGATGCCCAGTCCCCCAGCCCTGGTAGACAGCAGAAATACAAAGATGTCCTGATCCATGTTGAACTGATCAATCAGACCAATTCTGTGGGGGAAAAAAAAGAGAGCAGTGGAGTGAGTCCTACATTCAGTGTTCCACATGATAATGTCTTTTATGACGATTATGAAATAGGTCTAGTACACTGCAACACCACTGCACTGAGCGTTTGACCTGACATTCATTTACAAATGAAAAAATATATTACATCAAATGTTGCCAAAAGTAAGTGAACTGAACGTAGGGTTGATGTGATATATTTTGATATACATGTTAAGATGTATTAGCGTTTTCCCTGTATTAAAGAAATGGTTCAGCAAAAAATCCTACTTGCCCAACTAACTCCAAAAGTAATCAGCCAAGACAGGTTTGGTGTCTGATGTTTGGTTTTTTGGTTTTGTACTGGAGCTAGACGGTTAAAAAGTAATAGAAATCTATGCCACCAAAAATCTTTAGCTCTATGACATTAGCCTCGTAGCTCCAGTTCTAAACTAAAGAAGCAAACTTTAGGCATCAAACATATCTTGACTGACTGACTACATTTTGGGGGGTACTGTGTAATTTTTTCTCACCAAATTATTCCTTTAACCCTTTAAAGTCAATAAAAGAAAAATGGCTTTTTTCTGTTTTTACCTACTATTTCCTGTTAACAGTGCAATTTCTGAATGCTGTTGTTGTTTATCTGATGCGTAAGGAATGTGATCTAACAAAGCCAGCAACTTTGAGATTTGAATTCAGTTTGTGTCATAAACTGCCATTTTGAACAAGAAAACACATGAATAACCATAGCATTTTATCGTTACTTTGAGTAAACAAATAAATAACACGTTCTTAACAATGCAAACAACAAACATGCAAAAAACATACAAAAACAACTTGCACTCAACAACCAAAGAAGCCTTGTGTATCTTTTATACAGTGATAGAAAACAGAGTAGCACACAGAAAACCCATCTATTTATACACTCTCTGTGCCATCCAGTAGTCCTTCTTCAGTGGTCTGTTTCTGACCACAGAGCTGCCTTTGGCTGGATATTTGTTGGAAGACCACTCTTAAAATACCATGTCAGTGTTGATGCTGTGCTGAGAATAATACCTGGACAACAGCAGTCCTGTGGTCAGAAACTGACAAGTGATGAACTGTAATGGGCTGATAAACCGTGCAGCAAGATGGACCTAATAAATTCAGTGTACTTGCATCACTTGTACTACTGCTTGTATTCTAGCCCTGATTAGGAGTCACTCTGTTTATTCTGTACGCCTTGGCTCCTCAAATGGCTCACCTGTCACTCATGGGCGTAGAGCCATCCAGCCGAATGTATCTGTGCTTATAGTGTCTAAGCAGCACCTCCAAGATGTCCAGCATCATGGTAAACTGGCTGAAAAGGACCACTCGGTCACCCTGAGGGAGAAACACAGACATGGTGAGTCAACTTATGAATGTATCAACTAATGATAATCTGCTGTCTTCTGACAGACAGATGGTGCCCTAACATGCGGATTCTCACTAATCATGCACAAATATTCAATTAGAACACCAGTATCCATAACTGATGATTGAGTATAATAATGCTTCCCAGGAAGGGAACATGAAATTCCTCAAATCCATGAATGGGCCTGTCACAACCAGTGAGTAACATTTGTTTATTTGAGCTTGAGCTGTATCTGTCATCTTGGGTAAGTTTTGACTGCTAGAAAAAGAAATAGCTAATCAGCCAAGCTGGTCACTTTAGGCTTGTACTGTAATAGCTAATTATTTATATTGTCGCTCCATTTTTGTCTATCCATTTTTGTCGATTTTTATTTTTATGCTGTGTGAAAAGTTCATAATGAATGGACCAATAGAAATGCTCTAAAATCACTTGGAATAAAACCTCTTTACATTTACTTACACTGAAAGGTAAGAGTGTTTTTGCCTTCTCCTGTAGAGTTACTATTTTGGAGATACTTGTTTTTCTTTAGACAGCGACAATATGGCAATTAATGCTAATGTTAATGCTAATGCTAATATATGGCACCAAGGGACAATGCCCTAAGGACGAAGCTTACACAGAATGCTAATTTCTAATTACTAACTGTTGTGCTTAACACTCCCCACCTGTTCTTTGAGGTCTGTCAGAATCTGTGTGAGGAGGCGGAGCTTCCCTGAGTCCAGAAGCAAGTCGGTGTCCAGCTGGTGCTCATGCAGTGCCGAGTACTGCTGGCACAGCCGATGAAGCTCAAAGTCTGACATCACTGCCATGTCCTCCTTTATCAGAGCCGGGTCTGATTCACAGTGACTGGGCTCCTGCACAACAACAGAACGATATTCAAAACTCCCCAATACCTACTTACTGTAAGGGACAGAGCAGGCATCGCATTTTATCTACATACTTACTCTTAAAGTTCAGCATATAATCAAATTTACACAATTCCTCCTCCCCTGACCCCATATGTATGTTTATTGTCTGAAGTTCGCCTCTTTATTTTTTCACTGGTACTAAGGAGACAGAGAGATGCATGCAGGGCACTATAAGACAAAACAGTCCTCAAAAACTTTTTTTTTTTTCAGATTTATCACTATTTTACCATCATCAACATTCCATATAAAGCTCAGAAGACACATGTACGTTCACTGGTGGTTTTGGATAGTAAATAAAATGGCTATATTTGTGTTGTAGTCATGGCGACCCCTGTTTCTATCACCACCACTGTAAAGAAATCTGAGCTAAGTTTAAAAGCCTTGAGGTGGGACATACATCCCCACTGCCCCCCTGCCCTGAATTTTCTTGATAACGTAAGTATGTATCATCACCTTCAACATGAGTTGGCTCATAGCAGACAGGCGCTTGCTGGTGTAGTATTGCCGGTGCAACAGCGGGTGATTGGCCATTTTCCTCAGCTGCATCATCACGTTGGTCAGTTCCCGTTCTGGGCAGAGACATAAAAAAATTAATTCAATTAATTTAGCTAGAGAGACTAGACATGTGCTAAAAGTGCAGATGAGGGATTTGTTTACTGTTACTATGATGATTATTTTTTAAATTTTATCTGCTTATTAATGATCGGCTGAAAGCAGCTTTTCGACTAAATGAATTCTGAAATGTTAGAAACGATTATAATTTATTAGAGCAATTTTAAATAAACCTTGCACTAATTCTTTGTCAAAAATGAAATTCTCAAGCTATATTCAAAAGAACAGATAAAAACATTGATTTTTATATTGTCCATAATCCACTACTGTAAAAATAGTGTCTCTAATTATATTTATTTGCATATTCAGTGTATTTTTAAAAGTCATGGTGAAATTTAAGGTCAATCTAAAATTAAAATGGAAATTCATTCAACATTTTTTTCTCTTGCTTTTGCTAAGAACATGTAAGAAAAGCACTAAGTGTCCTAAGCGTCTTAAAGGGCCCATATGCTATAATTTTCTTCTTATTTTTTCTGAGGCCCACTTATAAATTTGTGTGGACCATAAATAGTCAAAATTCATTTTGCATGACCATTTCCAACCTCTCTTTATCCCTTAGAATTAAACAGGCTGTTTTTCGTTACTGTGTGTTTAAGACTGATACATAAGGAAATGAGCTTTGTTCTGATTGCATGCCTTTGATTGTGCCTCATTCAAAAATGCAGTCTGGGCTTCAACTGCTGTAGGCTGAATAGGTGTATATGTGAACGGTGGATAGGTTGATGCTATTATGTCAAAGTATGCTTTTCTGAGCATATTGTGGATATCGTCACCTTTTAAAGACCATTGAATAACTACATTTCATTATAATTAGCCACGTTTAGCTGAATTTCGTGCAGTGTGGTTTGTAAAATATTAAATATAAAATCATCAGTTCTAGGTTTTTTATTATTACAGCATTTTGCAGCACTACTTCTAATTTGTCTGTTCCTACTTATTTAGTTTTCCTGAGATTTAATATCTTGATGCTTATCGTGTATCATGAAAATGTCTTGAAGTATCGTGATCCAATATTTTTGCCATATCGCCCACCCTTAGCCATCATCATCACCATCATGGTCCTCTTCATACATACTCTCTTCAGTTTTGGTGCTCTTTAGTTTGTTGAACAGGTCGTCGTAAAGCTGCTGCTGTTTTTCACTCATGGCGCAGAACTCGATCTGTTCTTCCTTCGCAGGAAGTTGCTTCAGGACCTGCCGAACACAGAAGAGCAAGAACCTGAATGACAATCACAATAAGAATATTTTTATAGCAACTATCATGCACAAAAATGAAACTGCTTCACAGAAAATAAACATTTTTCCATTCATTATCTAACAAATGCTAAACCATAAACTGAACAACTGAATGTTTAAACACGGCAAGGAAAGCACAGCTAGTGATAGCTTAGCAGGCTAAATGCTTAGCTCACAAAGTCAGTTAGATACTCTCTGTTTCACTGCAACACCAGTCACTCAATTTGACAGATTATTACATTAAATCTGACACATCATAATTTTGAATGCCAACATTGCGTATCTAATTTAGCTAAAAGCTCACTGCACAGTCCAAACAGTCATGTTCTGTAGCTGCAAGCAAGTTTCCTGTTGCCACATTGTAATCCTCTCATTGGCAAAAAAAATTCTCAATTCTCAAAAGTCTTTTACATTGTATAGAAATGCCATGATGATGGACCAATAGAAATGCTTTAAATTTAACTTACATTAAAAGTGAAGAAGGCTCATTTGTGATGTTCTAAACTAAGCTGCCATGTAGTGTCCTACAAATCATTTTTTCCCAGATGCATTGAGAAAGTCTGTATTTTCAATGCAAAGATGTGAACTCTGTGCTATAGTAACACATTTAACACATTTATCAAACTATAAACAATATAACTAGATATTTTATAATCTATAAAAAATACATTTTTGACTGAAGGGTCTTTAATGAGAACGGTTAGATCAGATTTCAGTTTCTTTTCCACTGCGCATGCACCTATTATGGATTTTGTGGCACATACTGTAGCCTACATACTGTAATCATAAGTGTATTTAAGCCGCAAGTTTATGTATGTAAGTTTATGTTTTTTTGATCTACTTTACTTTGGTTTCTGTTTTCAGACTAGTGTGTCCTGAATTGCAGTTTCAGCCAAATTTATTTTCATTTCAGTGCATCACTAGTCACTTACAGTCACAAATGAGATCCATTAATTCAAAAAGAACAACTTTGAGCAAAAAATGGAAGAGAGTGATAAGGCTCAGATCTATATACATTCATACAACTCTAAAAACGTCAGGTCTGTTCATGTTGAGCTACTAGCAAGCAATGAGGGTTGAGTGATCACATTTGCATTTATACAAGTGTTTTAATTGTGTTAAAATGCTGTTCGTTCATTGTGTCAGGTGTACAGGATTGTTTGATATGAAGAACGCTGCAGCTGTCTGTTTTATCTCTCACGTCTCTATGGAGAGGTGTGAATTGTATTTCACAACAAGGGGTTCTGATCCCTCCCCTTTCACCCCTCATTGCTCGCTAGCATCTCAACGTAGTCACAACATTCCACACACACACAGACAACAGCGTCCTAGCTCATCTGATAACAGAGTTAAGGGGGGATATGTTTTATTTGATCACATTAATTTAAAATATCAGAGTCATTTTCCATTCTACTTTCTTGTTCAACGGGATTTAGAGCAGTGCAGTATAAAAAAGTTACAAAAACTTATTTTTTTCGACAACACCAGTGTCCAGCTGTACTGACAGCCCTCTGTGACTCATGAACCAACATGCATAAGCACGCCCAAGCTTAATAATGTATCAGAGATACATTGTTTTCACGCATACACGCACACACAGGCATTCTGAAGCAGCTGCATTATGCATTTCCTCTCATCCACTATGCATGCAGCTGGCAGCAGTGCAGTACCTCACTCTTGATACGACGCAGGATGAAGGGTTTCATGATGAGTTTAGCATGAGCGATGCGGTCTCTCTCAAAGCTGCTCTGCTCCTCTGAGGATTTCTAGCGGAGATTCACACAAACATACATGCACACTTGTGTCATTACAGTGTCAGGACACATATGTATTATTGTCCCATATGTATTATCATCATAAGAAAACTCTGTCTACACATCATGAAAACTTTACAAGAGAAGCAAACACACATTCTGAACTTTCAATATCAGTTAATGTGACAAGATTTTGTTTCGAGTCATTTTAGATTATTTCTACCTCTCCAGTATATATTATCTCTTTCAAAACCTTGTATCTGTATTTTTTATTTTCTTTCTTTTTTAACATAATTTTTAAAAAGCCAGCTGACATTTACACAGTGTTAATTTCTTGATGAATGGACAGAAATGGTTAAAACATCCCATTAAATAAACTTAACTACAAAGTTTTGTTCCAACAGCGACAATCTGCAAGTACCAATATGTAATAATATGTCCCACATGTATTAAAAAACTTGTGTCTCATTTTTTGTCATTTTATATATATATTATTTCATTTTTTTTACTTCAATTTAAAAATGCCATATATATATATATATATATATATATATATATATATATATATATATAAAGCAGTGATATATACCTATAAATGATAATGATACAGTCACCTGCAAAGGTTTGGGCACCCCTGTCCAAATTTCATGTTTTGTTGATCCTCTACAGGGTACACACTTCCACACATTTTCATGCACAATTTTTGTAGTCTCACATATTTGGATTGCCCCCAACAAATTCTCTATAGTCTCAACAGTGTTAGGATTAGGTTTAAAAATCAGTATGAGAACCAGGGTGAGGGTTAGGTTAAGGTTTTGGGTTGAGTTTAACATTTAAGTTAGATCAAGGTTTAGAGTTTTAAATGGGAGTAAATTAAGGTAAATTTAATAGATAATTAATTAACAGTAAACACAAGATAAGCATCTAAAGAATTCACAGTGGGCTAAATAAAGTTTAGCCTTTTTATTTGTTCTATTCGATAAATTGGGGGAAAAATAAAACACAAAATGTGGGCTTAATGCATTACATAAGCAGAAATTGTCCACTAAAATGTGCAGAAAAAGGCCAAGTGTGTTCTCTGTAGAGGATGTATTAATTTATTTTCACTTCAACAAAAAATCAACAAAATTTGGCAGGGGGTCAAATTCCCCTAGCTTTTAAATATTTATGTACAACCCCATTTCCAAAAAGGTTGGTGTATATATGTATATATGTATAAATAAATAAATAAATAAATATACATACACACACACACACACACACACACACACACACACACACATATATATATATATATATGCTATGCAGCAATGCAACCCTCCTTTACTGCCCTACACTTGGCTGCTATATAAAAAATTAAACATGGAGGGAAAAAAAAAACAAAAATAAGTACTTCAGTCAGGAGCATTTTGACATCCAAGACAAGTTAATAATGTTTATTACAAAAAAAAACAAAAAAAAAGAAGAAAAATTCTGGGCAACAATCCCACCTATAATAGAACGACTTAGTTTTCTGTGCAGTTCCTACCATGGCGAACATCTTGGCGATCTGTGAGGTGCTGCTGGAAAACATGTTGGGCATGATGAAGTTCAGCAGAGACATCAACTCCAGCAGGTTGTTCTGCAGTGGCGTTCCAGTCAGCAGCAGTCGATACTTGGCCTGTGGAGAAAGCGCACACACCCAAATTAGTGTTTTTGGAGTTGACTGATGTTGGCTGAAATGGCTGTAGTGATGAGGTTTTTGTATCTCTTTTTACAGTTCACATTAAGTCATCGACAAGTCTGCATGACCTTAATGAAGACCTGGATGTGGTTTGAGAGAAGATTTTTGGATGTATTTACAGAAACAATTTGGGTGGGTATTGACTTCTAGTGACTGTTAGCAAACCTCACAGCCTCAGCACTAAACTAAAGAAGCAGAATTTAGACCCTAAACATGTCTTGGCTGAGTGACTATATCTAAGATAAGTAGAAATTTAGATTTTTCACAACTTAGAACACATTTTTATATCCCTCATTTACATTTTTAGGTGCTTACAGCTCCACAGTTTTATGTCATCAAGCTGCTCTCTATTCCTGCCACCCTATTCCTTTACATACACTACACTGAAGTACACAGTCTAAGAAAGGCACTGGTATGTTGTATTCTATGCTGAATTTATACAACTTTTGAACTCTCTAACTTCATTAAAACTATACTGGGAAGAGCAGCCGCATGTAGATATACCAGCTGGGATGTGGCCAGAAATTTAGATTGGGATACACTCTTCCTCATCATTCTGTCTAAGACACACTATCATTAAGTTTAAAACCGTCCATTGTTTAAATCTGTCCAAGGTTAGACTGGCTAAATATACCCAAGTGTTAATCTTATGCGCAACAGGTGTAAAACAGATGTAGCTACACTCTCTCACTTGTTTTGGTCCTGCTTACCATTAACGATTTTTTTGGGAATGCATAATTACTTTTCAGGAGATCAATTCAACCATCTCGTCCCAGAGCCATATTTGGAGAAACTCCACAAGGGCTTTGCATAGAAAATTCTACCAAAAGGCTGATGGCATCTGCCACTTTCTCAGCCAGGTTACCTACAGTACCGAAATGCACTGTAAAGAATTTCTGGTTTCAACTTAAAAAAGCAAGTAACCATGCTGCAAAAGTTTTGAGTTTATTAAACTTCAAGTAATAAGTTCCCAGAACATAAGACACAGATTTTGTCCTGTTAACTTACTATTAGAAGTACCCTACGGTACCCTATCCAGGGTGACCATTCTTGTCAGGTGTTGGCTAACCCTAACCCTGGAAAAACAAACCTCTGAACATTTTAAAAAAGGAACTTGGAGGTGTAATAGACCTCACCTCATTTATTCTTAATGACCTAGCAGGCAGACCTTGGCCGAAGAGCTGTTAAGTTATGTTCATCTGGGAATGGGTGGCTGCACGCAGCGAGAAAAATGTATTTCTTTCATCCATTAAGAAGGAATTTAGTGCCTTTATTAGTCTACTTTTTCAAATGACTTCGATGTTGCTTACTTGCTAAATGTCAGATTTAGCAAGTAAGCTTTGCATATAACTGGAGATATGCCAAGTTTCCTGAATTTTCAGCTTCTGTCATCAAGCCTAGCATCCAAAAGACAATGCATTCTATTTCAGTACAAAAACTGGTTTAAAGCAAGGATGCAAATGTGGTGGAACAAGCTGCTCCAGTTGAAAATGAATGCCCTCCAGATTCTCACTACTCTGTCTTTTGTTAAAAGAACGGTTCAGCAAAAAAATCTAACACTGTTTTCCCTCTTACTTCAAATGTATTCAATCAGGCAAAACATTTGCGCCAGGCATCTGACCCCCATGCACCGATGAAACCTGCAAAAGGCAGCAAGAAGGCAGTGCCCGAACCCTGCGTGCCCACGACAGCTGTGACAAACAGCGGGAGGATGGTGCCCAACCCCTGGCCGGCCTTATGAGACCTTCCTCCTGTTGCACACCTGTCATTGGCACCCAGGTGTTGGGCACCTTGGACAAAATATTTGGTGTCTTTAGTTTAGGAGCCACAAGGTTAATGTAGATATGTAATGGAAGCTTATAGAAACCAAAAAAACCGTGCTAACTACATGCCTACTTCATTGCTTCAGACCACATGAAATTTTAAGTAATCTCTAGTAGACTTGACTATGTGATTTCTGACACTGTATGACTGTCATCTATAAACATGAACTAAAGTACATGTGTCAAGCTCCAGTCCTCACGGGCCAAAACACTGCAGACTTCAGCACACTCCCTCAATAAACACATCTGATTCACCTCATCAGCTCATTAGCAAGGCCTTCATGAACTGATTTCATAGCGGTTAATTCATGAGGGTAAATGCTGATCTCCGTAGCACTTTTACCGGAAGATCCTCAGTTTGACATGCCTGGACTAAAGTATGTTGCATAGCTGAAAACAGCATGGTAAAATTGTGTAAATTAGATTTTTCACCAAACTATTTCTTAAATGGGAACCAATATTTCATGACTTCTGCATAATTAAATAATTAAGATGTAAACAAAGTCATTCAAAGTGTAAAATGCTCCTGGTGGTGATAGGAACCAGACGTCTGAAGTTCTAAAAGTTCCCTCCCTCTAGTTATGAATACCCTCCCTAATGTCCAAAACATTGTTTTAGGATAGTTTTGAGAAGGTTTTGGCCTTAAACATAATTTTTTTAAATCCATTCATGGCTGAGGGGAACACAAAGGCCGCTGTGAGGCCAAATAGTTCCCAAAGAATTGTTTTTTTTTTTTTTTCAGATTTATCAATTTTTTTTCCATTATCAACATTCCATATAGAACACAGAAGACACCTGTAGGTTTACAGGTGGTTTTGGATAGTGAATAAAATGGCTATATATGTGTTCCCCAGTTGTGACTGCTGGTTCCAGTTCTGACTGCTGGTTCCAGTTCTACACCGTTTCAAATCAAACCAGTCTGAATGACCTATAATTTTCACTGATTAAATTATACAGAAATTCCCCATCAGTGTCCCTTTACCCCAAAAATGCACTTACATTGATGGCCATGAGGTGGCGATAGCGCAGCGAGCTCATGTTCTTCAACATGTGCCCCTCGTCAAACACGGCGTATTCCAGTTTGAGTTTACGGAACAGGCTGCGGTCATTGGAATTCCCGATGGCCAAATTGTACCTGGGAACACAGAACAAAACAGGGCTCATTAGCATAAAACCAGCAGATCTATGGTTCTTCCTTGTCCAGTGCTAATGAACTTACATCAACAAATTCTGGGTGAGCTGATCCAGCATTAGCTGTCTTATTCAATCAAGAGGTCTTAAGGAGCAGCCTGTGCGGCACATCCATGTTTCATTACCATGAATAATGAATGCTGCAGGGTCACTTTACCAGGACCCTTTCAGATTCAGCTTAACGCTTAGTATCGTTAGCACAAGCATATTTCCCTGAGCAAATTCACACGGCTTGCGGCGGCGATTGTAGAGATACATATTTGCCCTGGCCCTACTCAAGTTCACATACAGGTGTTATACGAAGGGTCCAGCTCTTTATTCAAGGTATCGATGCTGCCAGAAGGTGTGCCATGTAGGAATTGTGCGCGTGGTGGTGCATCACAGTGAAACACTGGCTTCCTGACCTAGCCAGAAATGCTAAGCACTCATTTTGCACATTGTATTGACATTTCAAGGCTTTTCTATTGCAACTTGGTTTAAAATGTAATGCTCTAACTTTAAACACTTTAAATGTTTTATTTAAAGGTGCCACAGAAAGGAAAACTGTATTTACATTGGCATAGTTGAATGAGGTGAGTTCAGTACATGGAACTGACATCCCGTGAACCTCAAACACTGTTGTCTCCTCCTTCAAATGCAAACTAAACTGTTACATAATAGTCTTGACTCCAAAATTTACATATACCAGCCCACAGGGACATGGGAATTGCTGAGGGAGCTACAGCACCCCCTGATTTCAGGACTGCCACTGTTAAAAATAACTGCAATAATAAAACATTCTGAACTTTATAATAATTTGAGCGTAGTAGACCCATGTGTGCTTGAGCGGAGTGGAGTTTGTAATTTTACCTTTTCAGAACCTGCAGTAGCCGCTTCGTTTAAGTGAACGCTGTTACTTAATTAGACTGAAAAATAGTTAAATGTGTCATAGAATGCATTTATTCAGTATTTAAAATTGTTCTCCGTTATCTACATAGAAGGTATATGACTTTGGTCCGGGTGAAACATGCCCATATGTGGTTTTACACGCTCATTTACAGCCATAATTTGTACCTAGAATGAAACAAGCTGTTTTCTCTTTTTCAGTGGGTTCAATGAGCTGAAACTGCCTGCTTTGGGGGCGTCACTCAAACACACGCCGGTTGAGGTTCCATGATCGAAAGCCTATGCAGAGAGCCTAATATTGTAAATAATCATCAATCTTTATAATGACATTTATCAATTGTTATATCTCCCGCTCTGTATACGTCTCAGTGTTAAATATCACCATGTGACTGTGGGTGTGACACAATCAATTACAGCTCCACATCTCAACAATCTGAGTCGTCACCGTTCAGTACATTTGCGTAAAGACCATCCAGAACAAGAGAGCAAAGAGAGGATGTGTGTCAGTGATTTGATGCATCAGTTATATTTATAAACAATCTCAGGCCTCATTGTAGCACTAAATGACATTATATTCGATGAAAATTAGCTAAATAAATAAATAAATAAATGCAAATCACTTTGTGTGGCATCATCAATCATGTCACAGATACACTGTTTAAAATATCAGCACCCCCAGCTTAAAAACACCCATGTTCTAGCCTAGTGTCCCAGGTTAATCTGATAACAGTAAAAAATATTTAATTTGATTAAACAAGAATGGCCACTAGAGGGCGTGCTAAAAGAGGCTACATAGACGCACACTATGTTGATGTGGTATTCTGCCTATAGGCCATACATGCTTATCTGACTCACGTTGAGACAATGATGTTGTAGTCCACCAGCCCATTCAGTATATCATAGCGGACACATCTTCGTTCCTCGATAGAACCTACAGAGACACACATGGGTTAGAACAGACGCAAACAGACTTGCAGTGTACGGAGATCACAAATTTACATTCGACACATCACTGAACGTCAGCCTTACCGTAATAAACCAGCACTTTCAAGCTAGGACACCAAAGTTTTAGCTCCCGAACCCAATTATCTGCCAACAGAAACACAGTCAGATATCTATATACAGTCATACAAATACAATTAAATATTTCTGGTCAAATTCCATGTTGTACTGATTTTCTAAGACATCCTCTACAGGAAAGAAACATTTGCATATTTTAATCCAAAATTACTGTTTATTTGCTGAATTTAAAATTTATTGGGAAAAAAAAAAACATCTCCATAAATATTTTTTTAAACTCAGCAAATAAATAGAAATTATGCACTACAAATGCCATACTTAAGTGTGTACTCTGTAGAGGATGTGTCCAATTATTATTTTTTTAATCTTGTTTTTAAATAGCATTTGTTGGCCCTCAATTGCTATGTAAACAACACATTCAAAAGATATTACAGTGATGGTATCATGGACTCAGAGGGTAAGATATTTTAATTATAATTTTCAAATGAAAAAAGCATTTTATTAACCACAATCAGCACTGACCTAACTTAATCCTAGAACCTACTCTAACTCTTGATTAAGACAAATATCTCATTTCTGCCATGTATTTTATAGAGAAAGACCTTTAAAAATTGGGACACTTATATGCAGAGAGCATGCACCTTCAGTCAGCTATCTAGGTCTCTAATTTGTATACAGTGGGGCAAAAAAGTAGTTAGTCAGCCACTGATTGTGCAAGTTCTCCTACTTAGAAAGATGAGAGAGGTCTGTAATTTTCATCATAGGTACACTTCAACTATGAGAGACAAAATGAGAAAAAAAAAAATCCAGGAAATCACTTTGTAGGATTTTTAAAGAATTTATTTGTAAATTATGGTGGAAAATAAGTATTTGGTCAATAACAAAAGTTCAACTCAATACTTTGTAACATAACCTTTGTTGGCAATGACAGAGGTCAAACGTTTCCTGTAAGTCTTCACCAGGTTTGCACACACTGTAGCTGGTATTTTGGCCCATTCCTCCATGCAGATCTCCTCTAGAGCAGTGATGTTTTGTGGCTGTCGCTGGGCAACACGGACTTTCAGCTCCCTCCACAAATTTTCTATGGGGTTGAGGTCTGGAGACTGGCTAGGCCACTCCAGGACCTTGAAATGCTTTTTACAGAGCCACTCCTTCGTTGCCCGAGCGGTGTGTTTGGGATCATTGTCATGCTGGAAGACCCAGCCACGTTCCATCTTCAATGCTCTCACTGATGGAAAGAGGTTTTGGCTTAAAATCTCACGATACATGGCCCCATTCATTCTTCCCTTAACACGGATCAGTCGTCCTGTCCCCTTTGCAGAAAAACAGCCCCAAAGCATGATGTTTCCACCCCCATGCTTCACAGTAGGTATGGTGTTCTTGGGATGCAACTCAGCATTCTTCTTCCTCCAAACACGACGAGTTGAGTTTTTACCAAAAAGTTCTATTTTGGTTTCATCTGACCACATGATATTCTCCCAATCCTCTTCTGGATCATCCATATGCTCTCTGGCAAACTTCAGACGGGCCTGGACATGTACTGGCTTAAGCAGGGGGACACGCCTGGCACTGCAGGATTTGAGTCCCTCTCGACGTAGTGTGTTACTGATGGTAGCCTTTGTTACTTTGGTCCCAGCTCTCAGCAGGTCATTTATCAGGTCCCTCCGTGTAGTTCTGGGATTTTTGCTCACCGTTCTCATGATCATTTTGACCCCACAGGATGAGATCTTGCGTGGGGCCCCAGATCGAGGGAGATTATCAATGGTCTTGTATGTCTTCCATTTTCTTACAATTGCTCCCACAGTTGATTTATTCACACCAACCTGCTTGCCTATTGTAGATTCACTCTTCCCAGCCTGGTGCAGGTCTACAGTTTTCTTCCTGGTGTCCTTCGACAGCTCTTTGGTCTTGGCCATGGTTGAGTTTGAATTTGACTGTTTGAGGCTGTGGACAGGTGTCTTTTATACAGATAACGAGGTCAAACAGGTGCCATTAATACAGGTAACAAGTGGAGGACAGAAGAGCTTCTTAAAGAAGAAGTTACAGGTCTGTGAGAGCCAGAAATCTTGCTTGTTTGTGGGTGACCAAATACTTATTTTCCACCATAATTTACAAATAAATTCTTTAAAAATCCTACAAAGTGATTTCCTGGATTTTTTTTTTTCTCATTTTGTCTCTCATAGTTGAAGTGTACCTATGATGAAAATTACAGACCTCTCTCATCTTTCTAAGCAGGAGAACTTGCACAATCAGTGGCTGACTAAATACTTTTTTGTTCTTCTTACCCAGAGTTGAAGATGGGACAGTGATGAGATGTGGCCCGTGGTTCCCCTTCTGATACAGGTGAGCCAGAAACGAAATGGCCTGAATGGTCTTCCCCAAGCCCTGCAAACAAAACAGCCTCCAGGTTTATCAGGGAAGAATAAGAGATAGATAAAGATAAATGCATGTCTTCATAGCTCTATGTCCGTGTTGACTCTTTTGTGTTATTTAGAGTATCTTTGTACAGCATATTTACCAGTATTTTAACATACAGAATGCCACATCAAGAGTACGTTTTTTTTGCCAGTAACTCACTGCTGAGCACAGTTACTGAGCTATACTGTGCTGGTGTTACCCTTCAAAACTAGTTCTATTCTGTAAGAAGCGGAATCACACTCATATAACATTTTCAATGACATTCAAGGCTGTCGTATTCCAAGTGCAATACCTACAGATTCCATTACTGCAGTGTATGTGCTTTTTTGTCTGACAAGGCCATACCACAGAAGCAAATCATATCATAATTTAGGAATTATCTTACAACATCTTATCTCAAGTTAGGAAATCTTAAACTACTCGACTAAGACCGATAATCAATTGTCATGTCTGTTATCAAGCAATCGATTATATGCACAGCTGAGACATAAACATGCAACTGAAATTACACAAACAAAACTTTATGTAAGTTATTAACGCTTGTAATATTGCTGTTCTTGTCCTAACGTCATCTTACTTTCTTTGACTTTGCTAAAACCTGTAACAAACAACACTTCTGTTTCATAATAGAGTATTTTAGTCATAATCTCAAAACACTGTGGTCAAAATAAGATGGACAGAACTTGAGAGTGAGCTTGCTGTCACAAATAACATATAAGCTTAAGTGTTCTATTACTTTTTATACAACAGTTCTGCAAAATAAAGAAAAACAAGTAAAAAAGGAAGCCCCTAACACAATGTCAAATGTGCTTAATTACTGACAATTCCTTCTGTCAAAAAGTTGCACCCTTTTGCAAATGCTACGAATAGCATAATAAAATGGCTTTTATATTGGACGTCTCTAAACATTTGACTTTCTCTCCTAATTTTCTTATGAAACAAATGTCCAAAATGACAGTTTGGACAAATCTTCATTTCTTCACTCCCAAAAGACAGATAACAAACTACAACCAAATATATTTTAAAATTGCCCTTAAATTTTGCTGAACATTATGTTTCAGAAAGGCAGGTCACTAATGCTTTAGTCATTACAAAATGCATAGCATATTTCACACATATTTAGCTAAAAGAAGGCAAAGAGTGGCTTCATTTAAGCCAACTAAATACCTCAGTTAATGGAAGACTCTCTTTACTACATGTGATTCTGCCGTGCTTTAGTTAAATACACAAGGGAATAAAAACTTAAAAACACATCCATTTTTTTGAGTGTATGGTAGGATTAAAATATCCATTATGGAGTGCTAAGAGATTACATCCAAAGTTGGGTAGCATCGAGCACTGTGCCATTACGCTAGTTAACACTAGAGATCTTGGTCTCTATGGTGAATGGTGAAAATGCAAGTTTACAACAGAACTTAGGACACCACTGGGGTTCTTCTAAAGTTAGGACAGTATTTCGGAAATTTTGGCTAGTTAAGATTCTTCTGTAATACTTCTGTAATTTTTATTTCACTGTAAAGCACCTCCTAAATGAAAAAAATACAATTACTATTATTATAATTATTAATTCCAAACAGCTGGATTGTGGGATCTAACCATCTCATCTGCGAGGATGCCACTCAGCTGGTTCTGGTGAAGCAGGACAAGCCAGTTAAGCCCGATCAGCTGATACGGTTTCAACTGGAACCTGGACACAAAACAGAAACCTGGGTTTATCATCAGGTCAGGGCAAAGACAAGAGCAATCAAATCTCAGTGTACAACTTATAATTCTTTAGGAGATATTTCTGAGGATATTAGATATAAGATAATCCACTTGCAAAAAGAAGGAGAAAGCCAAAGGAAAGTACATAAGAAAACATGAGTTTCAAAAACTGATTAAAAAGCTACAAAGAAAATGGGCCTCCTAACAACCACCTGCAAGACCTGGTAGACACCAAAATTGCCCCCATCAGATAAACAGCACTTAAAGCTTTCATCTTTGAGAGAGAGGAGAAAATCAAGCTGCTGCAGATCTGAAAAAATGTGAAAAGAATGTGTAGCCATCAGAAGCCCTCACTGAGAAAAGGAAAAATTGCACTATAACACTGAACCCGGAATACTGAAATCTGGATGAGTTTAAATGTCTTGGGATTTCCTTGATTGTGAGAAGCAGAAAATGCTAAACCAACTAAGACTGAACTTTGGAGATGTGGAAAAATATTCCTGAAGATGGAAATTGTAAGAAAGACAAACAGTCTGAACATGGTTTGTTCATTTTCTATGTGAAAATAAATTAACACATCCTCTACAGATCACACTTTTATATGGCTTATGCACTTAACATATATAAAAAAAAAACATAAAAAATATAATATATAACTTTTGCATAGGCCACATAATGTGTTTTATTTTTGTATATATTTTCCCCAAAATGTTCAATTCAGTAAATAAACAGTAATAGTGCATCAAATTGTGCATTAGTGTGTTCTCTGTGGGCACAGTAAATACTGAAAAATCAGATTTTATGTTTAGCTGTTGAGGCTTCTGTGTAATTTTCTGTAATATGTTCTGTAATTTTCTCCTGATGCTGGAAAATGAATAACTTGCACTTTGTTTTGACTGAAAATAACATAAACAATGGGTCTCAGACTTTTGCACAGTGTTTATGATTTTGTATTAATTTTTTTGTTTTTCTGTCTTATTTTTGCTTTATTTAAATTGTTTCTGGTCTCATTTGTTAGCAAACACTGTCACATTTTCCCTTGGGGTGATTTTGTGCAATGTCCCCGATATGCATACACATATACGAATAAAAAAAATGAAAACCGACTAAGAGAAGTCAAACCTACGTGTTGTTGAGGATCTGTGGTTGGGTCATGCAGCCCTGACCATTCTGCACCACTTGGGTCATCCTTCTGGAAATTTCCTCACACTTTCCCATCAGGCCTTGCACCACGTCCCGCTCCCTCAGGACCTCACGACACCCGACGAGAAGCTCAGTGGAGAGGCCGTTCCCTCTGTGCAGAATGTCGTCCTGAGGAAGAGACACAGCTGTTTTACAGCATACAGAGTTTCTCTTATTAACCCCATCAAACCACACGACGATCCATTCAGACTGTTTGTCTTCGTCTCCATTAACTGATTAAAATCTTCTCCCAGAGTATTTGGTAAGCGGTCATGTCCACATTGGTCAGTAAAATCTATCACTGTTTAAAAGAAGCCCCATGCTGCCTTTATGGAAATGACTACTACCGATTGTTTTATCAGAGCAACAATAAAAGGATGCTGAAGTGTGAAGTACAGTTGTATGCAAACGTCTGAACACCCATAGTCAAATTACATGGTTTGTTCATTTTCAGTGAAAATAAATTTACAAATCCTCTACAGATCACACTTATATATGGTTTATGCACTTAACATACAGAAAAAAAAACCAAAACATAAAAAAATATATATATAATATATACATAGTCTTATTTTTGCATATATTTTCCCCAAAGTGTTCAATTCAGTAAATAAAAAGTAATAGTGCATCAAAATGTGCAGTATTGTGTTCTCTGTAAATCAACAAAAGGTGTAATGTTGACCAGGGGCGCACAAGCTTTTGCATTTGACTGTATGCATTAAACTGATCTGCATTACGTTGCATTTTGTGTACTGTGATTAGAACACAGTAATATGTATAATGTACAATGTATACAGCAAATGAACATACTTCTGATTCTAATTCTGAAATGTTTCCCGCAAAATTCCATTTAAAGTGAAAATTCAGGCAAAAATGCTAACATGGCTAACAATGAATGGAAGCTAGCAGAGCATGAAGCCCAGCGGTTAGTCAAGCTCATGCTAAAGGCTGAGCTTCACGCAAGGCTAGTTCATTGTTCCAGTTGATGGCCCGATGGAAGAGATGGATAAGGAAGTAAAGGAAAGGAAAAAAAGAGAGTGAGGGGATGTGTGGATGTGTGTGTGCATATATACTCTGCAAACATACTAGAGTCAATACATAGTTGTATGCAGACGTTTGAATACTTCCGGTCAAATTACGTGTTTTGTTGATGCTTAAGTGTAAATAAGTTAACACAGAGAACACACTTAAATATAGCATTTTTCCAAAACTTAATTTGAAATTAATTTGCTGTGCAGTTTATTTGCTGTGTTTAACACATTGGAAAACAATTAAAAATATATATGCACACAAAAATAACTATGCACAGGCTGCAATTTATGTTTTATTTTTCCCCCAATATGTTGAATTCTGCAATAAACAGTAATTTTGTATTAAAATGTGCAGAAGTGTGTTCTCTGTAGAAGATATGTTAACTCTTTTACACTTCAGCATAATATGTAATCTGACCAGGGGTGCATACAACTTTATGTTGGTACATACTGTAATTTGTAACTTTACAAAAAAAAGATAAAAGCATTCTTAATAAGGCATGATAAAACATGTAAATTAAAAAGAAATTAAATAAAAAAAAAATAGAATAGAAATAGAAGAGAATATAAGAGAGAGGTAGAAGCCTCTCACCAGATCATTCCATGTTTTATACGGTCTCAATTCTACAATTTTCTGAGCTTTCTTCAGAGAGCAGCCAGCGATTAGTGTTAGCTCGTCCACTGTGGCGCTCTGAAAGAAGTTCAGTATCTGACCCTTGATTTTGGGCAGCGTTTCGTCCACCTGGTCCGAATCAGAGTCTGAGTCAAAGTTTCTAGTCGTTTCCTCGAAGTCGCTGTCGTTGTCCTCTGAGCTTGTGGCTTGTTGTTTAATCAGCGCCGCTGGCCATCTCCTCTTTCGTGTCTCTTTGGTCCCGTTGAGAGGTCTGTGTGGTTCTGGCTGTGGTGCGGTTCTGACAGGAGGCTGGACCACTGGAACTGGCTGTGGTACAGAAGTGCTGGGATCAGGATTTGTTTTCTCATGTTTTGGAGCAGGAGGTGCGTCTGATTCATCACTGCTGGACTCCACAACTGCAGTAAGAATTAGTAGACAATGGTTGCAAATTTAACCTCATAAAGATTCATAAGGGAACAAATCATCATGATGAATGATTTAATTAGAAAAAATGCAATGCGTCACAACTGATTCTACACAATTACAACTCTTTAGGAAACGTTTTAATGCATCTTGAATGTTCAATACGATTGTAATTCTTTAAGAAAAATCATGAATTATTGCATCATGAATTATTGAATCATGAACTATGAATTATAATTATTCAGAAAACAATTTAATGCAGCGTGAATGATTCTACGATTATCATTCAGCGCTTCATAAATGACACAGTTCAATTACAATTCTTTAGGAAACCCCTGAATGCATCATGAAAAATTCAATTTGGTTATAATTATTTATGAAATGATTTAATGCATCACGAACAATTTGGTTCAATTATGATTCTCTAGGAAACAGTTCACCCTATCATGAATGATTAAATCACGATTCAATAGGAAATGACATCATGAATTGTTCTGTTTGATTAGGCTTCACTAGAAAACAATTCAAGGCGTCATGAATTATTCAATTCGATTACAATTCTTTAAGAAACAACTGGTTCAATTATGATTCGTCAGGAAAATATTCAAAACATCATGAACGATTACGATTCTTTAGAAACCCTTTTAATGCATAATGCATAATGCAAATTCAATGCATAATGAATTAATCGATTAAAATTCTTTGGAAAACAATCTGAATCATTATAAATGATTCTTTAGGAAACAATCCGTTGCACCAAGAATGAATCGATTAGGATTCTTTAGAAAATAATTCAATGCATCATTAATGAGTTGATTGGAATTTTCTACAAAACAATTCAATGCATCATGAATGATTTGGTTACGTTTCCTCAGGAAATGATTCATTGCTTTGAGAATGATTACGTTTAATTATGATTCTTCAGGAAATTATTCAGTTCATCATGGATGACTTGATTAGATTATGATTCTACAATAAGCAAGCCAGTGCACCAAGCATGATTCAATGCAATGCAAATCAAATTTCATCATGAGTTGATTTATGTAATTATGGTGGTACTGCTGAGAATCATTTCTAACAATATACTGAACACATAAATGTGACTGAAGGAACTACATAGTAGTGAAATATAGGCAATAAAAACAATATGCCAAGTTTTACCCCTGAGGAGCACAGCCAACACATTGTACTACTCCAGTGCAAACAAATCTGAGACAGTTAATCAAAGCTGGGTGATTTTGATTACCTGGCTCAGGTGTGGTGTGTGCTGGAACCAAACCAATTTAAACTGGCTGGGTTCAACATCTCTGCCCTGTTACACTGGTCTATATTTTATTAAAGTCCCTGCCAGGAAATGCTGAAACAGCAGAGCAGTCTCTGTGGGAGCAGCTGAGCTTACTAAGAGAGAGCACAGTAAACATGCATATCACTGCTGCTGCTGTTGTTGTTGCTATTCAAAAGCCTCCTATGACAGTACCTACCACTCACCTATCAGCTGCAGTGATATTTCACCAGCAATTCAGTGAAATTCAGTATTTCACAATTGTCTAAGTATGTCTCTCGCTAAACACAATGTTTCTCTGTTTATTATTTTAACTGGAACAATACAGACATGCATATGGGGATATTTATAAAGAGGAATTCCACCAGTATTTCAAAATCTCTGCATAATTAAATGGTTACAATGTAAACAAAGATATTTAGAGCGGTTTGACGTAAAATGTTCTGTTCTAGAGAGTCAGTGTTGTTCACAGTGGTGGTGACAGGAACCAGACATCCCCTCTAAAAGCTGCCTTACAGAACGTTAACACATAAAATGATTATAAATACAATGCCTTAGACATTGTTTAACTATAGTTCTGAGAAGGTTTTTGCCTAAAACATATTTTTAAAATTCATTTATGGTGGAGAAACACATGCAGAGCGTCATAAGCCATGACATGGCAACCCCTGGTTCCTATTACCATCACTGTAAAGAAGTTAAGTTTCTCACAACAAACCAATTCATATCAAACCACTCTGAATGACTCTGTTTACATCTCAATGATTGACTCATACAGAAAATTTGAAAAATCGGTAGAATTCTCCTTTAATGACTATTTTTATAAAATAGTCCAGACCAAAGGATTTCTCATTCAAGCTGAACATGTAATAATCAACAGCAGACACAAAGTCCTCACCGCGGTCAGAGAACATTCTCAGCGCCTCCAGGGCATCCTCTATGATCCAGCTATGCTCATGAAGAACATCCCTCAGCTCCTATGAGAACAGAAAATTCACAAACGAACTGTTCTACTAAAGAATGCCTGAGGATCTCAGTCTGAACTTAACAGTTTGTTCCACATTTCAGCCCCAGACTGTTTTTGGAACAAAGGCACAGAACAGAACAGAGGTTATTTACATAAATCAAAAACACAGTACCAAAAACAGCCTTTTTATTTCAAGGGGGATCAAAAGAAGTTGGAAAATGGTCATGTAAAAATTAATTACAACCTAAAACCACACAAATATTGTAAACAAGTAGACTTCAGGTAAAAAATATTTAAGACGTTTAACTAATCCCACTTCCCCGTTACCTGTCCTGAATATCATTGCACAGTTTGGTGATCACGTGTTTCAGTGCACCAGATTCCCTGACACAAATCATCACGTGTGTCAGTGCACATCTCTAAACCGCACACAGACTTCTAAAGTTGCATGTAATTCTGTAGTCAGTGGCATTCCCATATTAGAAACTCTGAGTCTAAGCTAGAAAAATGAATGCAGTTATCAAAATTACCACCGTGTGGTAAACAAAACAGTTCCAAACCTGATACGTTTTATTCTACATACATTTTCCACTGAATGTCACTGGATCCTCAAAATTATGCGGGTGTTATGGAGCCAAATATGAGCATTGCTACAGCCATGCTAAAGGTAAACTACCACTCCTGCGCATTTAAATGACTTCCACTAAAGTCTGTGATTGAACTTAAACACTGTTATAATAACACCAGGTACCCCGACTGCACACAGTTAGAAATAAAGTTGCTTTTCCATTCATCAAGGCACAACAATGTAAATGTTCCCGCAAAGGTACAACAGTAGTTTTAAAGTCCAATTATGAACCTTAAATACGTTTTTCCAGTTGAAAAATACATATTTGCACCTTTTCATAATGTTTCAAAACAGAACACTAAAATAAAAAGCCTGGAGACGAGACAGGGTGTGTGGAGTCAAAACAACTAAAGGTACTGAGATGTACCCCACTACTGCCAAAGCAACTTAACTACCACTCTGGACAAAGTTGCTGGTTTGTCTGAGGTGTTTTGTGAGACTGACAGTCTAATAATGCCAATTCAGTGCACAGCAACTGCATATAGCAATATTTACATTTCAGCTCCTAAATGACCTAATAATTCAGAGGATCCAGAGAAACAAAGGCCCAATCCCAATCTTCTTTATACCCCTACCCCTTGTTTTTGAGTGTCACCTTGACCCTTGGAACTGTTAGAAGCGGTAGTGGTTGAAATCTTTCCCTACGAAATGGGACAACCCTCAATTAATAAAGAACATTACTTCATTAACAGGCTACTAGCAGTGCTCTGTAGGTTATCCTGCCAGTCTGCAGTGATAGCAGAGGAGGATAAAGTTCAGCCTCAACCTCACTGCTGGGCTTTAGTTACATTTAGGGCATCACATGCATTCAAAAAGGGGTGATGTGACAATTACTTATTATCGCCCACCCCTAAATCTTTGGTGATATGAAGCTGAAGTCAGCTATTCTCCAGCTTCTTATTCAAATTTTCCCGTTACACCTTAAATGGTGCAGCAGTTCTGATGCCTGAGGCTGCTGCACCAATTAAGGTGGAACGGGAAATTTAGCTAGCAAGCTACCGTGAATTTAAGTATTAGCATACTACTACTGATTTTTATGCTTGTTATGAAAAAACTATATAATAATTAAACTAGAATAATACAATGGCTATCGTACGTTTTTAAAGGAGAAAATACTCACATTTGTGGGTTTCTTTGGTCAATTGTGTAGCCATTTTGCCAGTTTTTCTTTTTTCTCATAACACACTGTTTGGAGTCCCTAAAAAAACACCTTTTGGATGGCTATGAAGCCTTAACACTTCGCCCTACCGCTCTTTCTCAACAAAAATCAGGACACTCTACCCCTAGGTGTGAACACGCAAAATGCAGGGGTAGGGCTAAGTGGTAGGGCGAGGGATGAAATGGGATTGGGTCAATATGCACACAGGAAAAACATAACAGCTTTGGAACATCTTTGTTTACCACAGGGTGTGACAGCAGTGATTTTCATAAATCCCATTCATTCTATCATAAAGAAACCCAGCTGTCTACAGAATGACACATGGCTTCAGTGGTCTACGGCTGTGTTCCTCCAGCACCTGGTCAGAAGGACTCTGGTGTGATATCGACTCATTACATTTATAATGTCATTTTGCCTTTGGGTCAGGGTATCTCTGACACTGCTGTACCGACTCACCTCCTTCACCAGATGCGGGAACTTGCGCTGTAGCCGCCTCACCATGCTCTCCTGCTCTTTCCACGTGGGCTCAGGACCCTCATCCTCCGAATCATCCGTCTACATATAGGACACAACACAGACATGTGACCCAACTACACACACCAGCACAACTGCAACGATTGGTCGACAAATTCTTTCTGACATCATCAGTTAAGGTAAAAAGTTAATGCTACCTATCATTAGCTCTGTAATGCTCTGTCATTCTGACAGTGTGTAATACGCTACAGTAAGTGTAGGGGCTGATATGCCTTTTACTGTTTTCTTTCACCATAAAAAAAGAAACTGGAGAGGGTGTAATAGTTTGATTAGCCAAATAATCAGCTATGATGGCACTATAAATCATATTTTGGTCAATCACATGATAGAAATGTTTCCTCGATAAACACATCATTAAGAACTGCCATGACAGAAAAGATCAAATTACCTCATACATGCAGCGCCAGAGAGAGCCTGCTCTCCCACATGGGGGATGAGTAACCTAACAATTAGGCTAAACTGCCAATTACAAAACCTACACATGCACATCTCAAACACTCCTCCATCCTAAACTACAAGCCTGCAAAAACATCAGATATTAGGATTGCTCTCATAACCAGTGTTGAATTTTAAGTGTGTAAGGCAGTAGTGGCTACTGTCACAACAAATGTACTTATTAACTAAACAAAATTAAATAATTAAATAAATAAATAGTTCTTCTTTGTTGATATGAAAAAATATATGTAGTTATTTATTTAATTAAAATAAATTTTGTTTATGTAGTTACGCAGCCTGCCCAGCGATGAACTGGCGACCTGTCCAGGATGTATCCTGCCTTCTGCCAATGACTTCTGGGATAGGCTCATGATCCACAAGGATAGAAAAGTTTAGAAAATGTGTGTGCGTTTGTGTATATATATATATATATATATATATATATATATATATATATATAAATTATATATATATATATTAATTTGTTTTTGTAGTCTTTGTAGAAAAAGCTGTTGAAGTAAGGCTGACTGTGTCTTAGCCTTTAAGCGTACAAAAAATGCACCTGCAGCTGTTGGCATTTCCTTTCTATTTATTTTGTATAGTAGTGAATGGTGCTTTTGTGATTTTATATTTTGCTATTTGCTTAAAGGAGAGATTAGTTAGATTTCTGTTTATACACATAAAGAAATAGCTGTAGTTGTGACACTATTTTAATAACAACTTATTCGCTTCTCATATCGTCATCCTGATATCCAACAGCTTTATTGAACATCGCAATCTGTCAACATCATATAGCCCTATAATAAATCAGTTGCTGATAAATTATTAAAATGGAGATAAGTTATTAAAATAACTGTGAGTTGAAGCCCTACATAGCAGTAAACAAAACCCAAGAATACAGCCATGAAGTTTCACAAACACGGCCTCCTTCAGAGAACCGATCGTGACAAGGAACAAATAGGCCGACCAGGCGGCCGTACATCATTGCAGAAAAGAAGATTAACAGCAGTTGACGTCCCATGAGGGAAAGCAATAATGTTTGTGTCCTTGAGCTGTTTTCTTAATTCAGTTTTGCCATTTGCAGCTACGTACACAGCCTTTGTATCATTACAGTACAGTATGCTAGCACAATCAATCTCCATCCTAGTCCTGGGAGAGCCACTCTTCGCTCATTTTAGTGTTTTTCCTTCTCCATCACACCCCATCAGGTAATTATCAATGTCTTCATGAGTCATATCTGGTGCGTTGGATCAGGCTCTGCACAAAAATGTGCACTGTTAACCAGTACAGCCTAAAATCTTATCACAATATACTCTTCCATCACATTCAGCGCTGATAATTACTGACAGTTATGTATTATTCCTAATGCTCAATATTGAGTGTGAATGGTATTTTGAGTAATGAAGAACACAAAAGGTTTATTTTAATTTAACATTCAAAAATAGCTTGAGGTATATGAAAAATGTGTGTTTAAATACGTATTTGTGAAATACATAGGAATTTAAGAATATAAATGAAAATAATATTTTTACACGATTGAATTAATAAGAAAAGCTAGCTAGCTAACTGTCTCAGTGACTGGGAGATGCTACATAACAGTAATAATTACTTTATTTTTAGAGTATTCAATAGAAAAATGTAAAGGAAAATGTGCTGAGCACCACCTAGTGTACTGAAGCAGAAACGGCAGAAACAGAATGATAGAATCATGTTGTTGAAAATAATAAAACAAGCAATATCGATACAAAAGAAAAAGTTGTAAACTTTTTTTGTAAAAGTTTTAAAGGATGTAAACACGGCAACATATTTAATTTCAGCAAAAACGTAAAAGGGATAGGTCAGAATGACCAAATTTTCAAACAGGCATTAAAGTTTAAAAAAATCAAACATAAATAGATGCCTTCTCTAATGTTTTACATTCTCTTATTGAAGAAGAATGAGATGTGTGAACTCGGTATTCCACCAGAGGGCAGTGTAGTGCCTGTCGTACATTTTGCTCAGAGTTTCTAATCGTTCTACTCCAAAGAATGAAATAAAGAAAGACTACTGCAGCCGGCTAAAGGCTACTGCACCCCAGACAAGAAGCTTTGCAGCATCTCTGGCAGATAGTACAAAGCACAGCTATACCACATGGGAAGTTCAAGCTCATTTTACACACTATGTGTATAGATTTAATGGACAAAATTTAGTGATTTTAACATTCGTGTATCAGCTAACAAAGTCTTTACAAACTTACTGTTTGCCAGCTAAAAGTTACAAGGTGAAATATGATGTGGCTGGGCTAATAACATTAGCTAAGGTTTAAACAGATGCTTAGCTTTGTCTGTTACTAAAAACTTTTGCATGAACCCTTTTGATTTACCCCTTTCTAGGAGCAAATTTCAAGCTTATGCACCTAAAAAAGATGGTTCAAGATCTCTTTTGTAAAGGTAATGCTTATATTTAGAACCATGAGTTTTATACAGACTAATTTGCATGCTTAAATTGGTCTTTGCATGGTGAAATAGTTCTTCAGATTGATGTAGAATATGTTGTATATGGTTCTATATAGAACCTTTTTTGAAAATGGGATCAAAAATCAAAAAGGATTCTTCTACTGTCAGGATATCAAGCTTGTAACAATAGAAGAACCTTTTTTTGATAGAACCACTTTCAAAGAGACAACTTGCACCAATCTGAAGAACCATTTCACAATGCAAAGACCCATTTAAGCATGCAAATTATTCTATTATATATAACAGAACCAGTGCCTTTACTTAAGAACCCTTGAAGAACCATCTTTTTTAAGTGTTTACTATGGAGTACTGTCACTCTTGTTTCTGGTGTGTGGTAGCCCGTAGCCTTTAAAGTTATTATTTCAACTCATCTGAAGTAATACTTTACAAATTCAAAATCAAATCCCATCCCTAACACGTATTACTGACATTGAAGAAATGTTTGATTTTGATAAATATCATTATTATCACTCAGGCCTGCTGACATGACCGTCCTCCAGGGCTTTGGGCTGTGACCTGCTGTGTTTGAGGGTGACTGAGCTGTGTGTGATGTAAGCCAGCAGAAGTAACAGAGCTCACCACAGACTCTCGCCTCTTCTTACTGCGCTGTGAGGGGGAATTCTCCGGGGGGCCATCACACATCTCCTCCTGCCTCCTCTTACATACTCCATCTGAGACAAGACAGAGCAGTGTCAGTTCAGGGTCTATCTCTCAAAGTCAATCAATCAATCAATGCCACCCGGGATCGCCAGCCATAAGCAAGACTTGCCGTTAAACTCCACTCCAATCAGTGGTATTGATGGCGCCTAACTAATCAGGGGTGAGTTTCCCAACAGCATCATAGATCAAGAAATAACAGAACTCTCTCGAGCAGTTAAAGAGATCACTATACTATGATGCTTCCAGGAAACAGACCCAGTAAGACTTTTAAGACAGACAGATTAAATCAGTTCACATCCCTCCTCAATTTAAGCACAATTAATCAGATCCTTCTAAAAAATAAATGTTTATCTGTAATCGTCCATCAAAATCTTAAGACTTTTGGCTACTTGTAAAACATCCTCAGATTTTCTGATTATGCCACTGTGCACCAGCAGGCAGGGCAAAACAATATTTACCAATAATATCATGTTTCATTTCCCCTCCCACCACAACCGGAGAGAAAATGCACGGAGAGAAATGCACGGAGAGAAAATGCTCAGCTAGCTCAGACACACACTCTGATTTACTCTCAAATTTTGGTAATTTACACAGTACCAAACGACAATGCATTACAGTTTCACATTGACTTTAGCTTCTGTTTTGTATGAATGGTTGAAGTGAATTAAAATGAATCAGTACCTTCACTGCTAGACTTCTTCAACTGAGGTTTACATTTGGTCTCCTGAAAAATATACAGAAGGTTATGCTTAGTGACCACACAGCCAACCCTTCTGCACACTCATCACAATTTTTTTTGTATTCACTGTCTATGCACCAGAGAATGTCCCAAACATGTTTTGTTATACTGTATATTCCTGTATGTATAACGACAATAAGCATGAACTGAAACATATCAACATAGTTTAGTCTTTCAGCTCACCTATTTTTAACAACAGATTATTGGTGTCAAAGTCAATGTGTTATTTTAAATTAGTAACTGTTCATAACTGGAGCATTTTTTTAACATTGTTAATACATTTTCCTAGTTTGACCCTACAGTCTATTCTTAGTTGCAGGCTGAAATATATATATATATATATATATATATATATATATGCTACATCAGTGCTGCATTTTGCTTGTAATTGATACTTCAGACTTGACGTACTTTGGTGATGAACCACTGCAGTAGATGATTTAATTTTTGTTACATTTCTAAATGAAAATGTGCCATAACTTTTGCCGAAGGCACATTTTTTTTATTTATGTTTTATTTTTTTGCCCAATGTGTTAAATTCAGCAAATAAACAGTAATTGTGAATTAGAATGTAAAGAAGTGTGTTCTCTGTACAGGACATGTTCACTTATTTATATTCAGAAAATACATAAAACGTCATTTGACCAGGGGCACCTAAATTTTTGCATTTGACTGTGTGACACTCACTGGTTGGAACACACAACCTCTGTTCCTCTCACTGGACGTCGGTGATGAAAACTAACATTCTGATTGTATTTACTTAAATAGCTACAGTATAATCTGTTGCTTTTAAAATGAAAAAAGGTTCAAATTGAGGAAATAAGATACACAACCATGCAAAACAATGCAATCACAATTAATCAGTGTGAACGTGTGACAGCCCTAGAATAGATACATTAATGTAATATATTTAATTAATGTGGAAATAATGAACACATTTAAATCCAGTGCATCAGGTAAGTCTGCACTGCCTCTATCTTCACCTCTGATATGTCATCCTCTTCCTCAGACAGCAAGATCACTTCCTGAGCTGGAGTCACATTCTTCTCCGTCTTCACTGACCTGGATGACAACGCAACAAAAAAAATCAGAATACATTAAACTCAAGACCTGCTGCAAGTTACTGGACATGACAAATGGAACGCACCTGAGTGCACAAGCCACCTAAAATCCATCATCTTACCCTTCCAAAATCATAGAACTCCCTGATATCTCAATGTCCGACTCTGAGGATGAGTCCACCGTTATAGCCTCCGTGGCTCTGACGGCTCCAGGCCCTGAAGGACGCTTAGCCTCTGGAGTTTCTGGCACTGTGACATCTACAGTAAAAGGAAAAAGTGTTTATTTAAGATACAACTTATATATAGCTTTGCTAAATGAATGAAAATAGCACAATAGGTGCCAGTGCTGATGACAGGTCAACATGGGCGATATTGTTGGTACACTGTGATACTGACATTCTCATAATATTACTTTTCGGTTTTAGCAAAGCATTTGATAGATAATGAACATTATGTCCATTATATTAATGTCCATAAATAGTATTGTGTCTTTTCTGGAAATCTAGTTAAAGGGGAGGTCCAGTGAATTGTTCACGGTGGTTGTGATGGGAACCAGAGTTTAAAGCCTCCAAAGGCTCATTCTCAAAATGTCAAAATCCATGAAAAGGTTAAAATTACCCCCTTAAAGTTTTTATGATCGTTTTGAGTGCAAATTTTGGCTGTGGTGGGGGGGTACATGCAGGGCATCATAAGGCAAAACAGTGCACAAAGTAAAGGTATTAACTGTTTTACTATCATCAACATTACACATATAGCTCAGAAGACACATGTAGGTTCACTGGTGGTTCTTGATAGTTATTAAAATGGCTATATTTGTTGTAGTCATGGTGACCCCTGGTTCCCATCACCACCACTGTAAGCAATCTGACTGCTTACATCTCAACCCTTGAGTTATGCAGAAATTTTGATCAATTGGTCAAACTTCCCTTGAACATAAATATCATAAATGTATTCATAAAATATAGTATATTCAATAAACTGAGCCCATATGTGAAGTTAATCATAATTTCTCATAATTAAGAAGACTTTTAACCACAAATGTGCTTGTGAATACAAACGTGTCTACATTTTAACATTAGCTACATTCTTACAAAAGATGGTTCTTCATAGGTTCTTTAGTAAAGTGAATGGTTATAGCTACATAGAACCATTTGCATGTTTAAATGGTTCTTCAGACTGATGGAGAATGCATTGTGTCCTATACAGAACCTTTTTTTAAATGGTTCTATTTAGGGCCAAAAAGTGTTCTTATATTGTTACAAGTTTGCCATCGTAGCAATAGAAGAACCCTTGTTGGTGTTATTTAGAGCGCAAAAAGGTTCTATATAGAACTATATACGCAACACATTCAATCTGATGAACCATCTCACCAGGCAAAAAACATTTTGAATGGCTCTACACACGTGAATGATTCTATACATGGTTCTAAATAGAGCTATTGCTTTCACTAAAGAACCCCTGAAGAACCTTCTTTTTAAAGAGTGAACCCAGGGCTGTTTTTGATGTACTGTACTTTCGTGCAAATGAACTTGTCAACAGAAAAGTGACTTGCGTTTGTGAACATTGTACGTCAACACAACAACAACCAAAGAACGTACGTTAAATGGGCAGAAATGTGTTAACTTTATACATACATTCACGAGGGGACTGAAAAATAAAACACAGACTGTCTCTGCCTACCGGTGGAATCCGCATGAATTTGAGAAAATGGCTCATCTTTGTTCCTCATTGTTCAAGTTGCAGAACCTCAGAAAAACCGGACCAGACCGCAGGTCCAGATGTATAGCTTCATATATATTCACAAAAGCAAAACAGATGACATTTAGTCCGACGTATGTCACGCTGAAGCTCTTCTGGAGTACCGAAATTAACCGGTTAGCCAGGTTAGCTAACAAAGAATGTCATGTTTCTCGCTACCTATATCTGGCAACCCGACAAGCTAAAATCTCATTTAGCTTCTTTTTTTCAGATAATAACTGACTACAAGTAATCGGCTGTGCCTCATCGCGAGCTTTGAGACATTCTGAAATGACAAACCACTCTGCTGTGTTGTGTCAATGAGAAATATTTGAATAAAATAATGTAAATTTGATTCAAAGAACCTCGCAGCTGTAGCGCTATTTTTCCCCGCACCCGTTATCTGGAAAGCCCGCCTATCCTGCGCTACAATTGGTTAGTGGTTCATACTCACCCGAGTTCGCCGAACATCTAGCCAATCGTAGCGCAAGTGTTGGGACGATACTAGCCAATCAAAAAAGCAGAAGTGCGGGACTTGTCGAAATACGGGTGAGAAAAAAAATAAAGCGCAACCGTACTGTTTATAACTACGGTGGCCGTGTTGCTAGCTATCGTTTTCGAAAACGCGTTCTCCGTGGAGAAAGAAACAGACACAGCTGCCTCTGCCACAGTAAAACAAACTTAAAAACGGCTTCACTGTGACTGGAAACTACCTGGGAATCATAAAAACATAATTTCTCTCCTCACTCTTGTATTATTTGGAATAACCAAGACTTTCTTCACTGGGGTAAAAGTATGAACATTAATCGATGGTTAGATAAAATATTTGTGATGAATCTTATGAATGAGCAAGGGGATGTTTATTCTTTTCAAGGGATGATGGGAAAAACAGGACTTGCCCTTAAGCGTAAAGACTGTGATACGGTTATTAAAGGGGAATTACACCAATTTTCACAATTTCTGCATAATTAAATGGTTAAGATGTAAAGAGTCATTCAGAGTGGTTTGGTCCGTTCTAGAGAAACTTACAGAGTCAGAATTGTTAACAGAGGTAGTGATAGGAACCAGACGTCCACCTCTAAAAGCTTCCTCACAGGAGGTTATTACATGAAACGGTTATAAATACTTTGTTTTAAGTTCATTTTGAGAGGAAGGTTTTGGTTCTAGATATATCTTTTAAAATCAGTTAATGGCTACATGCAGGTCATGAATGCATTTTAAAAAGCTCCCCTTAATCGCTTTTTCTGTTCAGATCAACTTGAGAGTTTAGAACATTTCATTTTTAATGAGATCTTGTTTCATGTTTTTGGACAGAAGTCACAGAATGACTCTTTGGTGTTTATTTTGTACTACAGCTTGTAAAAATACCGTGGTGTCCATCACTGGCCGTGCTACCATGAGAAGCTTAGGAGGTGTGCTTCAACAACAAAGGCGCATGGGAGCCACGTTCCACACAGCTGCTCCCGGCATTACAGCTTGACGACAGCTTTCACTGTGATGCAGCACTACATGTGCTTGTGGATCTGCTGCCGGAGCAACATGGCGACCTAGCGGTGTTGACCACAGCCCTCCAGTGATACTCCAGGCAGGCATCAGTGGTGTGGATGGCCAGACAGCTGGTCCCGGGAGTTCAAGGCTGAAGGAAGAGTGTAAGCATACTAGTGGCAGAGCTGAGCACAGTGGTTCGGCAGGCATATCCGGTGTTCGAGGAGACTGCGCAGGAAAAGTTAGCACTGAAGCACTTCCTGTGTACGCTGCTGCCAGAGGAGCTGAGATGGCACGTGCAGCTCGACACCACAGCAGCTGCCACCAAAGCAGAGAGAGTAGAACAAGAATACAACAAGGCAAGTAACACAGTGTTGTGTGGCAGAGGAGCTCATGCAGAGCGGCCCCAGAGCGAATGGGTGCTGGCGATGCTGGAAGAGGGGACACTGCACCAGTCAATTCTGCAAAACCTAAGGCGGCGGGAAAGCCAGCCCTGGAAGATTGGCTACCGCTGCGCACCTTAGGTCAGCATAGATGGGAAATGAGTGCAGCATAGACTGGAAACGGCTCACTGCCCTCATTGATACTGTTTCATCAGTGTTACTGCTATGTCCAGGCGTGTTTCCTCACACTGAGAGCGGCACACCTGCCAACTGGGAAGTGCCGACTGTCCAACTCAATTGATGTGAGAGGAAGGACTTGGCTCCCGGCTGTGATAGCTTGTGCCTACACACATTGCACACATTCTCACTTTGGACTTCTTCACAGCAGCCAGGGCCTTTCTCAACCTCAGAAAGGGAACACTGGGCTTGGAGACAGGACAAGTGAAGCCACTTGTGGTGGCTAGTGCCGGAGCCAAACCCGAGAGTCGGGGCTCCCTGTGGGGGAAGCCACTGGCCCTGGAGGAGCTGAACATGCAGCCTCAGAGTCGGTTGGTGGATCTCCAGGGCGGGCCGCACTGTCAGGTTGAGGGCACCATGGCTTTTTGCAGGTTAATGCTAGGGGTTCTTTTATTGTTATGGTGTTAAGCTTGTATACAATAGAACACTTTTTGGTGCTATACAGAGCCATTTCTATGTAGAATCACATACAACACATTCTCTACTAACCTGAAGAACCATTGCACCATACATAGAACTGTTTAAGCATGAAACCATTGCCTTTACTAAAGAACACTTGAAGTACCATCTTTTTTTAAGAGTGTACAATTATTGTTGCTATTAGAGCTACACGAGTCTCCTGAACAAATTGTGAATGATTTAATTTGACATGTGCCTTTTTGTTTTTGTGTTCTTCTGCTTACAAGAGCTGTATTCCTCTATTGAATTTATGATTCATATGTGCTTCCCTCATAATGCAATTGTGAGTGTAATGAGTATCAATAAAAAAAAAAAACAACTGGCTGGAAAAGTTTATTGTTTTGTTTTTTTCCTTCATTTGCTCCCAGCTCACAGACAGCCTCCTCTCAGCCGTCTGACCATGGAAAGGAGAGTCATCACTGGGATCTGAACTCATTATCACTCACAGTTATTTGTGCTACAGGTAACTGTCCTTAATCTAAGCTCTGCCTAAGCCACACTCTTAAAAAAGATGGTACTTCAAGGGTTCTTTAGTAAAGAAAATGGTTCTATATAGAACCATGAATACTCAGAGAATCCTTTGCATGATTAAAGAGTTGTTTGTATCGTGAAAATGTTCTTCAGACTGTGCTGTAGATGGTTCTGTGTGGAGCCTTTTTGAAAAGGATTCTATAAAACAACAAAAAAGGTTTTTCTATTGTTACAATATCAAGCTTGTTACAATAGAAAAACCCTTTTTGGTGCTTTATAGAGCTCCTTTCAAGAAGGTGCCATATAGAACCAGGGTTCTTTAGTAAAGAAAATGGTTCTATATAGAACCGTGAACACTTAAAGAACCCTTTGCATGAATCATGGGTTTATTGCTAACCTAAACCTAACCTCAACCCTAAATTTAATTAATCTTATCCTCATTTCTATAAAGTAAAAGCCTGTTTATATTGCGTTGTCTGGATATACATCATTATGAATGTCTCTCTCCTGTTGAATGCAGGTTTACCAGAGGGGTTCAATAACACAGATTGATTTAGCATTAGCAATGCTGCATTATTCCAACTACAAGCAAACCTAACAGACCATTAAATTAGTTTCACTTTCATATGATAATTATAAAAATAAATCAATTACTAGGATATTGGAATATTGGAATTGCATCACTCAAAGCCATGAAATGAGCAATTCACAAATGAATCGTTCTTTTGAACGACGCTTTTACATGAGTCAATTCACAAACAAACACTTTTTTTTATCATCTCCTCACGTAATGTTCACAAGCTAGCTATGTTTGCATTCAGTCGTGTCCACAAATATTTGGGCTAATTTTCCACCACAGTGTATTGGAATTCAATAATGAATATGAGCTCAAAGCGCAGACAGCTTTAAACTGAGGAAATTTACATCCAAATCGGGTGAGGAATTATAGTTCATTTGTATTTTTCAGTATTACACTGTATTATTCAATAGTTTACTGTTTTTTTGAATGACCTGTATTCTGAATACACTGACTATAAACCAAATTTGAATCTTGAACCTTGAATCATTTTCATACATCTTTTTTTCAGGACTCAAAACATAAAGTGTGGCCTAATCAACTATGATGCATTCTCAGCCCTTAGAGGTTGACAATAATGTATGCAACATTCTGGAGCACTGTACATAAAAGAATAAATCTCAGGAATGCTGCATGTTAGAGTATTGTTTTTATTTTTTCTGGAAGGGTGGCATTGTGCCATTCAAATGAGGGCTCCACTGCGATTGCATCCCTTTCAGAAGCTTGGTAATCCAGGCTTGAACCTCACTGTCTTTTGGAGACTTTGTAAAATAAATCCATCATGACAAATCCAACACTGAATGTCTGTTATTATTTATTTATTTCTCTATGTTGAAGAGTTATTGTTGTTGTTAGCATGGCTTAGGTGTCTACTGACACTTTAGCTTCAGTCTGTCAACCAATCAGAGGCTGTGTTCCTAACTTGTCGACCAATCAGACTCTGCGTTCCTGACTTGTCGACAGCACAACGCTACCCTTCTGGGCAAAATAGAAAGCATGCAGCATTCCTGAGATTTATTCCTTTATGTATTACATCCTTTGATGTTGCATACAACATCGTTGATCTGTACGTGTTAAAAGGAAAGAACACACAGGTGAGCACAGAAGCACCAAAAGACCCAGAAGACAACATGGAAAACAAATGTGTTGGATGACTCTGTGGGAAAAAAGCCCCTTAAGAAGAGTTGGATAGATAAACAACACCTTACATGAGGTGAGGAGAAGGTTTCACCAGAGTAAATACAGGGGGTTTACCACTGATAAGCCTCAAAACCAGGAAGACCAGATTAGCGTTTACCAAAAAACATCAAAAACAGGATAGTTCTGAAACAACATCTCACGGCAAATATCAACTTGCACTAGAATGATGGGAAGAGTAAAGTGTAGAGAAGGGAAGGAACTGCTCATGATCCAAAGCACACCACCTCATCTGTAAAGCATGGTGGAGGTAGTGTTAAGGCATGGGCAAGCATGGCTGCCAATGGTACTGGTATCTGGTCTGATTCAGCCAACCTCACTCCAATTCAGCATGCATTTCACTGAAGGCAAAACTGAAGGTAAATAAGAACAAGCAGGAAGTGAAGACGGCCCCAGCATCTGGTGAAGACTATGGGTTCCAAACTTCAGGTAGTCATTGAGTGCAAAAGATTGGTCAAGTACTAAAAATGAGAATTTAATTTAGAATTGTTAGTTTGTCCAATTACTTAATTACTAATTATTTATTTCTGTTGTAGTCACGGCCTGGTTCCTGAGTCTCTAACATCAACCGTTTTACACCAAACCACTCTGAATGACTCTGCTTACATCTCAAACACTGAATTATGCAGATATGTTTTCTAAAATTGGTGGAATTCCTCTGTGAAAGGTTGTTTGAATATTGAAATGGTTCTTCTGATTGATGAAGAATGTGTTCCATGTAGAACCTTTTTGAAAATGGTTCCGTAGAGCACCAAAATGGTTTTTCTATCGTGTATGATGTCAAGCTTGTAGCAACAGAAGAACCCTTTTGTATTTGTATAAGGTTCTACATAGAATCATGTACAACACATTCTCCAACAATTGGACCACCCTGCAAAGAACCATTCAAGCATGCAAATGGTTCTATACGGAACTTAGGTGTGGTCTTTCCTAAAGACTCCTTGAAGAACTATCTTTTTAAGAGTGTACCATATCGAGTTGGGACTAAATTCTTGTTTTCTCATATTCTTCATTTGAAATATAATGATTTTCGCCCTAAAAAGTCTTTAGCTTTTTGCTGATGTCACCATGCACCAGAGGGCAGGACAACTGACATGGAGAGTCATGGAGAGAAAACACTCAGCTCATACAGCATAGTACAGAAAGAGTCATCCATACCTCACCACTATAACTTAAGTGTGCAAAGAGTTTTTTAGGAGTGTATCCTAAACACTGTTCCTGAATGCTGAGTGGTAATGGACTGTGTGTTTGATTCATCCAGATGGACAGTGTGATAGAATGATAGAATTCCACATAGAAAAATAAACAAAGCGTAATATCTCCAGATTTAACCACAAAAGATAATATTAAAAATGAAAACATTGCATCCTTTGATCGCCTTATTCTTTTTTACAATGCCTTTATTATACCATATTTTTTATTGTTCCCTTATTGCATCTTTTTAATTATATTTTTATTACACTTTTAACAACTAATTTACTTAATTTGTTGTTACATCTATTCTTAGTTATATGTTTATTATGCCCTTTATTATGCTTTTATACATCCTTAAAAACAGGGGTTCTTCAAGAGTTCTTTATATAAAACCCTTTTGGGCTAAAGGGTGTACATTGTTATTTGAATACCTTATTTTATAAGTCATGTATTATAGCTTTATTACATCTTTTCATTATAAATGTGTTATGTATTTTTGTCATACCTTTAATACGTCTTCTTTTTATTACATCTTTACTATAGCTTTATTATATCTTATTTAATTGTATGTTTATTGTAGCTGCATTACTCCTGAACTATGCCTTTGATTATTCCTTTACTACACCCTACTTTAAGTTATACGTTTATTCTAGCTTTCTTACAGCTTTTTAATGTGTATTATGCATTTTATTACACCTTTATTACATCTTTTCATGTTTATCGAAGCCTTTTATGTTAGAATGGATTATACATTTCATTACACTTGATTTCAGTTTAATTCTATCATGCCTTTATTATACCCTTATTACTGTTTGTGTATTCTAGCTTTATTGCACCCTTTTGTTATAAATGTATTATGCTTTGTTATACCTTTATTTTATATTTGTCATAGCTTTATTACACTTTTTTGTTATAAACGTATAATGCCGTTTTATTATAGCTTTATTACACCTTATTACCTTTTAATAATACGTTTGTTATAACTTTTTTGTTATACATTTATTGTGCCGTTTTATAATACCGTTATAACATTTCAACTGAACATTTTTATGGTTATTTTTCTTTCTCATTTTTATTATTCCTGCATCAGACTGTATTTTCTGAATGATCTCTTCTTACAGTTTTTTTCCTCTCTCTCTTACTCTCTCTCTCTCTATCTCTCTCTCTCTCTCTCTCTCTCTCTCTCTCCCCCGGCTCTCCTCCAATCAGCTCGCGCGCTGGCCTGTGTTTCCGGTAGCCGCGTGGTCTCCCGTCCCGCCGCCGCCGCCGCTCGGGGCAGCGCGTGCGATGGGAAGCCCACTGCGGCTGCGGCCGGAGCTCTACTACCACCATCAGCAGCATCAGCAGCATCAGCAGCGCGGGCACCGAGGCAGCCAGGCGAGCGCGAGCCCGAGCGAGCACGCGCCCTCCAGCCATGCGAGCTGCTCGAGACTTCATCCTCAGCCTCCTCTTCATCTCCACCCTCCTCTTCCTCCTCCGCCTCCCGCTGCTGCTCAGTGCGACGCGGCCATGAGCGGCTGCAGCCGGTATAACGGCGGCGTGATGCGCCGCAGCCTGCACGAGTTCGACTCCGAGTCGCAGCCGCTGAGGCCCGCGTGCGCCGGCGCGTGCGCCAGCGACGCCGCGCCGTACCCGGACGTCTCCGTGTCCTCCTCCAAGCCCGACGGAGGAGCAGGAGGAGGAGGAGGAGGAGGCGGGGGCGCGAGCGGCGGCGCGGCCGGGCAGCAGCGCGCCAAATCGGGCAAGAAGAAGAACCAGAACATCGGCCAGAAGCTCGGCCACCGCAGGGCGCTGTTCGAGAAGCGCAAGCGCCTCAGCGACTACGCGCTCATCTTCGGCATGTTCGGCATCGTGGTGATGGTCATAGAGACCGAGCTCTCGTGGGGGGCGTACGGCAAGGTACGACCACTGCACCCAAAACAGAGGACAGTCAGCATTTCACTGTATCTGCCTTGGTGCTTGATTCAGTAACGCGCGCTCAGTTAATTCAGACGGATCACAGAAAAAAGTGAATGGAGTTATGCTAATGAGCCCCACTCATCATGTTTATGCATGCGAGTGTTTTGCATACATTAAATAAACTTAATACGCTTATGTTTACTAGACGTTAAAAAAGAGGCAACACAAGTTAGTAGATTTAAGTTAAATCTACATTCTTAACCGAGAAGAGTTCTATAAAGCACCGAAAAGGTTCTTTAACTTTGGACAATAGTGCAACCCTTTTTGATACTTTCTAGAACCAGTTTAAAAGGTTATTTAACGAACCATATACAACAATGTTTAACTCTTTAAATGTTTAGCATTTAACTGATTAAACATGCAGAAAGTTATTTGAGTTGTTATGGTTCTACATGGTTCTCTAGCCTCACTAAAGAACATTTAAATAGCAAAAACAATTCTCTGACTTGCAACAATAGCAGAACCTTTTTAGTACTTACTTATTTTATAAAACCATTTTAAAAGGTTCTGTAAGTACAGTCATGTATAATGGCACAACAAACTATTTAAACATTCAAAAGGTTCTATGTCTTGTACTAGTACTGGAGCCTTTTGGTACTAGGTCAATATAGAAAGTTCTTTAAGTTGTCATGGTTCTACATGGTTCTCACCCCCCCCCACCCCCGGCTGAAGAACCTTTGAAGAATCATTTTTTTACAAAAAGTTTTGTGACTTGCTACTTAAAAATAGCAGAACCTATTTTAATTCTTCTTATATGGAACCATTTTTAAGGTTCTACAAAGAACAGTCATGTTTAAATATTCCAAAGGTCCTATGACTTGTAACAATAGTGGAACCCTTTTTGGTACTAGGTCTATATGGAACCATTTTTAAAAGCTTCTTTAAAGAACCATAAATAACAGTTTCTCCATCATAGAGAAGAACCATTTAACCGTGCAGAGAACCACTTAAGCATGCAGAAAGTACTTTGAGTTGTCATGGTTCTACATGGTTCTCTACCCTCACTAAAGAACCTTTGAAGAACACTTTTTACAAAAAGTTCTGTGACTTGCAACAACTTTTTAAAAAGTACTTTCTATATAGAACCATTTTAAAAGGATTTTGTAAAGAACAGTCACGTTTAATAACACAAAAATAAAATTATTTAAACATTCAAAAGGATCTTTGACTTGTAACAGTGGCAGAACCCTTATTGGTACTAGGCTATAGAACCATATTTAAAAGGTTCTTTAAAGAACCATATATAACAGTTTCTCCATCCCAGGGAAGAACCATTTAACTGTGCAAAGAACTATTTAAACATTCAGAAGGATCTTTGACCTGTAACAGTAGCAGAACCCTTTGTGGTACCAGTAAAACAAGTAAAACAATAAGGTTGCAATGACCAAACAAATGCTCAAGTAAAGCTGACAAATCACTGTATTTCACTGAAACCACACTGACTCAGTTTGACTTACTTACATCCATTAAGATCAATGAGAGACATGATTTAAAAATGTCATTTATATATATATATATATATATATATATATATATGTGGGGTTTCAAATTTGTCAAATTTTCTGCTTAACTGAGTGTTTGAGATGTAAACAGAGTCGTTCAGAGTGGTTTGGTGTGAAATGGTTGATTGTAGAGACTCAGATTTCTTTACAGTGGTGGTGATAGGAACCAGGGATCGCCATGACTACAAAACAAATATAGACATTTTATTTACTATCCAAAACCACCAGTGAACCTACACGAGTCTTCTGAGTTTTTATATGTAATAGTGAAGATAAAATAGTGGAAAAACTGAAAACAATACATTTTCTTTCAGGACTGTTTTGCTTTACAGTGCCCTGCATGGTACGTCCACCATGAATGAACATTAAAATACATTCTGGCTCAAAATTTGTTTGAAAATCTATTGTAAAATAATGTGGCAGACGTCAGGCAGTGTATTCATAACCATTTTTATATAATAACTTTCTGTGAGGGAGCTTTTAGAGGTGGACATCTGGTTCCTATCACCACCACTGTGAAAAATTCTGATTCTGTAAGTTTCTCTAGAACAGGGCATTTCACACCAAACCACATCTCAACCATTTAATTATGCAGATGTTTTGACTTGTTGGGTTGATTATCATGTAATCTGTAATACTAGCTTCTAATACATGGTCATTTCATTGAGTTTTGGTAACAAAATAAACCCCCAAAAACCACAATCCCAAAAGTCTCACCCTGATATATAGTAAATGACTCAAAAAAGAGTGTGAGGCAGTTGTGCATTTTTACACTAATATGTTTTGGATTTTTCAGTACTTTATTGAACTTTTTTGTTACACCATTATTAATTACCAATGGTCCTATTACATGCTGTGTTGATTTTTTAAGTGCAAATAAGTAATCACATCCTCTACAGAGAACACATTTCTATACACTTTATTGTTTATATGCTGAATTTAACATATTGAAAAATAAAATAAAATAAATAGATAGTGTTAAAAGGGCCCATTTTTTAAAAGAAGAAATATTAATATAGTTTGTTAACACTGTTAAAGTTTTAAAACATCCCATTCACTCCCCAGGCCATATATTGAAATTAAGCTGCAATTCATTGTTACTGTGATGTCATGAAAACCAACTTATTTACATATACCCGCCCACTCATCCCGAAGTTATAAAGAGTGTTTCAGCCTGGACTGCCGGCAGCCAGTTAGAACAGAGCTCATTTACATACATCATGCTTAAAAGCACAGTGACAAAACCAGCCCTTTTAATTGTAAGAGAATAAAGACTGGTGGCCATGTAAAACAAACCGATACAAACCCACACAGATATTATAAATAGACCTCAGTGACAAGAATGAAACTCAAGAAAAATGTAGGATATGGGCCCTTAAACTTATTTTCACTTAGAAAATCAACAAAGCATGTCATTTGACTGAATGTTCAAACCTTTGCACACGACTGTAGGTCAAAATCCAATACAGTCTTGAGCAAAATGATCATTTTGTAAAGTGCAGTGGAAAAAAACTGTTGTAAAAGGTCACTTTGTTTGTCTTTCACTCAGTAATAAGCTTTCACTATCCTTAAAAGTCCGTTATGGTCAGAAGGGAGAAGATGTGCTCCCTAAAGCGCCCTTGCAGCTCATTTTTACAGCGTCAGGGACTTTTGTTAGAAGATGCAGCTGTATCCGCCCGAATGACGTGAATTGGAATGAATTGCTTCAGAGCATTTAGAAGCAGAAAACACTAACGGATTGGTTCTCATGCGCATGTCCCAGCTTAATGAACATTTACGCACATAAATATTTTGGTAGGTAAAAGGATAGGACTTGTGGGTACTTGAAACTTTGCATGTGCGTTTGGCTGCTTTAAATAGAATGAGCTGAATGTCTTTTCTTTGCTTCTTTTTCAGGACTCCTTGTATTCGTTAGCCCTAAAATGCCTGATAAGCCTTTCTACAATCATCCTTCTCGGTTTAATCATCATATATCATGCCAGAGAGATTCAGGTAACATACTATATTCAGATTTCACTCTTTCTGCTTTACTGAGACCATTATTTTTTGCTGTACTACATGGCCAAACATATGTGGACACCACTCCTTATTACTGAGTTCATGTGTTTCAGCCGCACCTATTACTGACAGGTGTGTAAATACCAACCACATAGCCAGGCAATCTCCATAGATAGAACTCTGGCAGTAGAATGGGTCGCACTGAAGAGCTCAGTGACTTTAAACATGGCACTGTCATAGGATGCCACCTCTGCCACAAGTCTGGAACCCTCTAGGAAAAATTACAGCTCAGCCACAAAGCGGTAGATCATTCAAACTTACAGAGCGGAGCCTCCAAGTGCTGAAGCACATCAATCCTTTGTTGCATCACTCACTACAGAGTTTTAAACTGCCTCTGGACGCAACATTAGCACAAGAACTGTGCATTAGGAGCTTCTTGAAAAGTGTTTCAATGGTCATGAAGCTGCACACAAGCCTAAGATCACTATGCGCAGTGCCAAGAGTCGGCTGGAGTGGTGTAAAGCATGCCACCACTGGACTCAGTGGAAGCGTGTTCTCTGGAGTGATGAATTCATGAGTCTGATGGACAACTACCTACCAGAATGCATTGTGTCAGCACTAAAGTTTGGTGGAGGAGGGATAATGGTCTGGGACTGTTTTTCAGGGTTTGTGCCCCTTTAGTGAAGGGTAATGTTAATGCTACAGCATACAGACATTTTACACAATTATACATCTTTGTGGAAACAGTTTGGGGAAGATCCTTTCCTTTTCCAGCATTACTGTGCTCCTGTACACATAGCAAGTTCCATAAAGAGTGGCCTGCACAGAGCCCTGACTAATGAGTACCTTTGGGATGAACTGGAACGTTGGTTGTGAGCCAGGCCTTCTCGTCCAACTTCAGTGTCTCGCTTTACAAATGCTCTTTTGACTGAACAGGCACAAATTCTCACAGACACACTCCAAAATCTTGTGGAAAGCCTTGTTCTTCTGCAGAAGAGTGGAGGCTATTATAAAAGAAGGGGTCAACTACATTTTAATGCCTGTGATTTTGTAAATGGATGTCAAACAAGCTCATATAGGTGTGATGTATAGGTGTCCACATACTTTTGGCAATGCGCTGTGTTTAAAAAAAAGAGTCCAGTGATCTGTGGCACATCCTCTTTACCCAAGACATGTGTTCAAGGGCACTTAAAGTAATAGTTATGATGACAGAATTAAGTGGATTATGTTGGATTGAAGTGTATATTTCATCCCTAATGGCCTAATCAAATTATTCTGTGAAATCCCCTCGAGGCTCACTGACCCTGTTACAGCTTTACGATGGGGGCAGCTGTTTGACCCAAATAAGTACGCTGGCACAAAATCTTGGATTTGTTTGGCATCATTACTAGAGGTATAACGATCATTGGTTCAAATTCAGAGGGGGGACCCACTTTTTGATATTGTGAGGTAATTTTTGTAGGGTAGCAGGATGGTTTTCAAAAAATGTACATGGCTCATATTATTGATGATATTTACATTGGATCCCCCCACAAGTCATATTGTGCTGTGCTTACAACCTAAAACAGAGACTGCATATGTGAAAACACATTGCACGCATGCTTAGCTCTGTCAGTGTGCAGCAGGGCTTAGCCCCTTTCTGCACGCCCCCTAGTGGCCATTCTGCCCACAGAACAGAAGCTGACTGAGATCTTTGAATTAATATGATCAAAAAAATATTTTTCCAGAGTCTCTGTTATTAGATGAACTAGGACACTGTTGTCTCTCTGTGTGTGAAATGTTGTGACTCAACTGTGTTGAGCTGCCAGTGAGCAATGAGGGGTGAAAAGGGAGGAATGAGAACTTCCTGCTGTGAAAAACAGTTCACACCTCTCCACAAAGACAGCTGTGCCTAGAAATAGACAACTGCATCTTTCTTTATATCAAACAGTCTTGTACATCTGATACAATAAAAAATAGCATTTAAACAAAATAAAACACTTATAAATGTTATCTTTCTCACATACGAAGATGAAAATCCAATTCACTACAAATTTTATCGAAATATATTCCATCATTGTTACAAAACAGGTGAAAATTGCTTTTAATGGCTACTGTGAAAAAGGGTTAATGAAGCAGGTAGCTTAAGGCCTAACAAAGCAGTCAGATATGTCATTTTTTTGAAAGTGTTTTTTGTTTTTGTGTTTTAATACTAATATCTAAACCATTAGACATGATGTAAATATGATAACTCAGCATACTTTGTTAACCTAGTGTTATAAATCAAGTCTGCAACTTTTATATGATGCTAGCGTTGTATGTAGGCTTTGGTCTCTCAGTGTTGGTCCCCACTTTTTGCACCTCTGGAAACTATACACATATTTTAATGCAATATGAGTCGATTTGATCTTCGATGTTTTATGTGTTAAATGTTTCGATTCTGAAGAGCTTCAGTTCTATACTACATAGCTACATACTACATGTCAAACCATCGTTCTAACAATTGATAAATATTAAACAGTGCTGCTAACTAGGAGAGAGAAGCTGGTTAGCATTAGCTTAGTTAGCATGATCACAGCTCTGCTCACCACAGAACATGTTTGATTCTGACTAATTAAAGTGCAAACACTAATTTTTATGATGATGACTCAAGTCTGATAGAAGAAAGTGGAGTGACTGGCATTGAAGAGACAGAAAGGCTAAATTAGTTTTGTGGTGTTTGGTTCTGTGAGTACCCTAACGTTAGCTTAGCGAGCAGACTACAAACAGTGCCACACACTATGGTACAGGTTTGATTCTGACTAACTGCTAATCTGCTGAAACAAGATAAAAACTAATGTCTGAGAGAGTTAAAGTGGAGTGACTGACAGAAAGCTGAAATCAAACCTGTTCTGTGGTGTTTAAGACTGTAGTGTTTGGCTAAGCTAAGGATAGCTTAGTTAGCAGGCCAAACATGCCACACAGCTGCGAGTCGAGTAAAAGCAATATTGAACATGTTTTGTGGTGAGTGGAGCTCTTAGCCATTGCTGAGCCGCTATCATGCTTAGTTTTGAGTTTTTACCTGGCTCTGATTATCTCCTCTTTGTGTCAGCACTGTGTGGTGAGCTTCCATACTACTAATCAGTGACCCCTTTATAAAATAAATGGGGAGAATGAGTTTATTTGGGTACTCAGACGTGAAATTTGAAATGCTAGTATCATTTTTTCCGTTGTTATAATTACTTCCAAAATGAAAACATCGTCAGACCCAGTGATTAGTCTGGCAAAATGCAGCTGGCTAGTTACATTTATATTCTCAGCCCAATTTGATGTAAAATGTTTCTCTTTCCATATGAAATTCATCCATCATTTTCGTAAGACGTGGTCTGAAAAGGCAGAGTGACTTGCAGCTGCACACGCACACCATATTTTACCCTGTTTTTTTCTGATGACTCAGTAATAATACTTCTTCCAGTTTTTACAAGGAATTGTGCAGTATTAAAATACTTGCATACAACATTTACAAACAAGCACAATATAATATATCAATACATTTAGTGTCTGAATTTCATTTTGGCAATAATTGCTTTGCTGTGATATATTTTGCTCATGCAGGAATGATGTACACATTTAAATCATGTAAATTATATACATTTCTCAGTTCATAATAACAGCACTAGGAGCTAATTTAGTACTTCTGAGTTCACTGTAGGGCTGTACAATATAGCATACTTTTATCGTTATCGCAATAATTTACCTGATAAATACATTGTTAGATTGGCAATCACAGAAAAAAATGAATTATTTCATACACGGAGCAACAGACAACCAATTACAAAACACACATGTGCACAGCTCAAACACTCCTCCATCCTGAACTACAGGCCTGTAAAACATCAAACATTAGGATTATTCTCATACCCAATATTGTGTTTCAAGCATGTGAGACAGAAATAGCTACTGTCACAGCAAACATATTTGGCAACTAAACAAAAATAAATAAACAAAATATGAATTAATTCTTGTGTACCTATATAAAAATAAATATATGTTTATGTAGCCTGTATAGAAAAAAATGGTAATGCTGTTTCTCAGCCTTTCAGTGCATGAAAAATATGCTTGCGGTTCTGATGTAAGCAGCTATTAGTATTTCATTTCTTTTTATTTTGCACAGTAGTGAATGGAGCTTATGTAATCTTGTGTTTTGCAGTTTTGTTACTTGCATCACATCCAGTCAGAGGTGCACTATTTCCATAATAATTTACTGCTTCTTGTGTGATACCTTTATCAAACATCGCATTTTATGTCCACATCATACAGTCTTAGTGGACTGTAAAAGGTTTCAGACCAGATTTTAGGCTTTAGGTCTTTTTGTGTCCTGTACGAGGTGGATTTACACTGAATCTGGCCACTGAAGGGTTAAGTGAGAGCCCAGCACTGTCGGCTCCACTGAGCAGCTCCAGCACTTGGACAAAACTCAATTTTATGACCTTGCGTCAGAGCGCTGTAGCGTTACGCACTGGGGACTTTTTTTCTTGGTGCTAGTCAGTATTTGTGACTCGTGCATCTGTATGTCGTGCCGTCGCTTCATTAAGAGGAAAAAACAGCATCAGGCTGCCGGCACGGCTGGAACACAGCAAATACACAAACGCCAAGTTAAAGCTGCTGCTGTTTGTAGCTTACATATTCATGTTTTTTCTTTATTTTCAGGGTTTATAGTGCTTAAGAACAGAACATATTCAGAATCATTGCAGTTTTATTGGTTGGTCTATTGCAATTGCAGTAAAGCTTGCAATATATCAAAAACGTTAATGTGTGGTTAAAGACATGCATTATTATCACAAAAAAATAACATCAGTTGGATCATATTAATGCATGTAACAGGTTTTGTTCATATGAGAATTGCACAGGCAAATATTGCTATAAGCAAGTAAAATAAAGCAATAAGCCAGGAGATGTTACTGTGATTCTAAAAACTCTTACTTGTGGTAAAATCACCGTAAAGCATGGTCATAGGTGGCTTAATTTTATTAAAC